TGTATTTACTTCCACATTTTCAAAACTGAAATCATGTTTATCATTTTATTCTACATTTTCTCCCCAGAATACTGTGATTTTTTGGGTGAAGAACTGGACTATCACAACGATTGGTGGTATTCATCAAAGGAGCAACAGTAAAACAGAGAGCAGCTGTCTTTCCACTCCCATCATGGCACTGACAGTGATCGTGGACTTTGCAGGGTGTTTCCCCTCCACTGAGGCCAGAAAAAGACATTTCCTCTTGTGTTGTTCCCCATTCCAGACATCCAGGCTCAGCATCTTGAACAAAGATACTTCGGCATAAAACATTTGCTGTAGAACCTACACCAGCCTGGAAGGAAATACTTTTTCTTTATTTTATCACAGACTCACCTACACTTAACATGATGAACTAACATCACTTAGCATCTATGCTGTTCTCATCTACACTTATATAAAATAGTGTGCATTATGACTGTGCTAAGACTGGGATATATAAAATTATATACTGCTGAGCATGTCCAGCTCTCAGCTTCAATGAGATTCAGGGACACCCAATACCCCTAAGTAGAGTTTATCAGGAGTTGACACAGCAGGTCCAGGATGCCATTATTAAATTCTGGTCAACCCTGAAGTGGTCAGGCAGTCAGATGAGATCATTGAGGTCCCTTCCAACTGAACCATTCTGTTCTATTGTACTCTATTCTAAATTTTGGTAACCCAATCCATGCACTCCTAAAGTTGCATAAGGAGAAGTCTTATCAGTCTGTTTATTTTTTCTATTTGATGCAGCATTTAATTTTTATGAAACCAGAAGTACGAGAAGAAAATTATAATTTACAAAGTTACTGTTTGTGGTTTGATCTTCTCCCCTGGACAACTTGATTCCTGTTGTATTGTTTGCAAAGTTGTGATGTTGCCCTTTGCATATCAATTCCAGAAAAAAGGTATTTAAGTCATTTAGGCCAGGGCTGTGCACCTCTATCCGGAAGGACAACTCAGATAGTCAAGTAGATACTGATATAATCTTCGTTATATCTGTGCTTTTAAGCATCTTTATTGCTTTAAAGATATAAGGAAAATTCCACTCTGTGCAATATGCACTGACATAAAGCAGATTGCTTGAGTGTGATATATGATTAGAAGAGATAACTACCAGTCTGTTCAGCTGATTTTCAGATGTGAGATAAAATCACATCATTCTAAAATAGGCTCAAATTAATTCAGGGTCAAAGTGAACAACAGTTCACTCTCCTATGCACTATGTTTTGTTTTATTATTTTTCCTTTATGCATCTCATAAGTGAAGGGCAGATTTTTCAATTCTATTGCTTTCAGAGGACTAATGCTAAAATTTTGCTTTTCTGTATTTCTTTTTACTTACTGTAGGGCTTGTGCGATTGTTGGTGTTTATCTTAATTTGCAATACTGAAATTGTTAAACTACATTGTTATATTAAAAATACCAAAACTAGGGGTAATACAGTGAAAAATTTAAATGAAATGGGGCTGAACAAAATGTATATAAGAACTAAACAAACTTCATAATCAGTGTGGAGGTACTTCTTCAGGAGAGATGACAAACCTCTCAGAGAACAAAACACACAGTGGATGTGTTCAGTTAGCAGAAGTTACAATTTAGGAAAAAAATATCATCTACTCTGTAGTACACAAAGGTTTTGTGCAGCACAGGGAAATGGGCAGACAGGGACCTTAATACACAGAATGAGTGACCGTTCCCTACTGTGAGCAAAGAGCCAGGCTTGCTCTTAGAAGTTTTGCTTGCTTAGTTATGTCCATAAGAACTTATGTTAGCAAGAAATTTAAATTCAAAAACACAACACTTGTACCTAAGGTAGCTGTTTAGGCTAAAGCCCAAAGGAAAAAAAAAATGTGGGTTTGTTGTGGGTTTTTTTCAGACAGAAATTTTGGGAATCTGTATAAACTACCTGGCCAGACACATGTATGCATGTATATATATGTATATATATTATATATACAATATATTTTTTTCCTCTCCTCTCTCTCCTAAGCTCTGCAGGCAAGAGTCCCCCTCCCTTCCTTCCCTCCCTCTCTATCTCTTCCATTAGAAATGTCACTACTCCATCTGCTGCCCCTGAACTCACTTGTGCTGGCAAGGACAAGCAGGCAGAACAAAGCAGCTGAAGTCTTTCAGCATAATATGCTACATAGACCCTTCCAAGCCAATTGGTAGTATTTTCCCCCAAGAACAAAATCATGCAAAAGGGATTAATGCTGCTATGTTTTTCTTTTGATGCCTGTATTGCAGATCAGGACACACCTCCTGCATCATTAAGTCCAACTCCTTCTTGCTGCAGGCACCACATAGTTTATTCATATGAGTATGTGTGCTTTTTGCTAGCCAAGCTGACTGGTGACTAAAGGATTGCTTGTGCCTTCCAGTACATCCTTGAACACAAGATATGCTGTTGTAATACCTGAATTACATGGAATTTTTTTTCTGTGTCTATCTCAAATGATGTTACAATTTCAACCATCAAATGTACACGTTATTGCGATCAGCAGGACTTCTCTCATCTGAAATTATGTATGCTTTACTGCTTTTATCAAATGAAACTGTAATAACAGCTCGAAAAGTGTGCATTCTCATTGGAAACCACATTGTACAGGAACTGCTTCTTCTGATAATTACATATTTGGCGACAGAGGGTGAGGGGGTGAAGAAAAGCTATTTTCCCATCTGCAGCAAATCCTGACAGCTGGTTAAAAACAACAGTAATGAAGGAGAGAAAAAAGAGATATTTGTGAAGGCTTTAGATATTAGTTTCTGATAAGTATGCCAAACATAAGGCCTTCTTTGAATTATTTCAGTCTGCATGGGAGGGGGCTTTGCATTGCTCCCTGGAACTCCTGGGAAAACACAGAAATCTCAAGGCAGGTAGGTCTCACTGAGCATTTTAAGAAAGAAATTCACAGTCAATGTTTTACTTCACAGCATTCACACCATTCCAACTCTGGACAGAGGCAGAAAATGAAGAGGCAAAAAATTAATCAAAGTTTAACAGCCAATAAAGTGAAAAAAGAGGAAACATTCAGATTAGTCTTTACAGGGCTTGAGTAACTCACCTTGTCCTAAGTAGACTCCTTTCTGCTGTAGAGCCCTGAGTATGGGCTCAGGAAAGTTTGGACAGGAAAACTAGGAGATAACTGTTGTCAACTCTGGACAACCGCAAAAGGCAGGAAGGAAAGCCTTCTCACAGCTCTGTCCTGGGAACCAGACATGCAGAGCAAAGTTCTGCCTTCAGCTCTGCCCTTCACCCTTACAAATCACAGCGATTTTAAGGGTAAACTGTTTGGGTGATCTCACACCTTCCAAAATCTGTCTCCTCTTATCCACAGAGGAATGTGGTGCAGCAGCCACCAGCGCTGCAATAAGCCGTTACTTTCATCATACACAGCAGAAAACTTGGGGCTTTTGAAAGGTCTTTGCTTTATAAAGTGTGGCTCCTGTGCTTTGCCTTGCAATCCTGTCTGCTGGCATGTGCAATCATAACACTTCAGCTGAAGATCTACACTATAAAAATCTACAATGAAAGATACTGAATACCTAATGTTTATCTGTAAATGTCTCTATTTAGAGACAGAAGTTCTATTTATACTTTTAGTTATACTGTAAATTTTCTGTAATATCCATAAGGCATTAAAATGTGTACTAATGAAAAACAGAGTTTATGATGTCTTTGATCTTCAGGAGCTGTTAGTCTCTCCAACCTGTGGTACTTTGCTGCTTAGTAAACAAAACATTTCTTCTAATACCCTGAATAATTCAGTCCAGCAAAAATCTCAGAACACTTTGTCATTAAAAATGGTTTTCATGCTTCATCTGATGGTTGCTGAATGATGTGAGATGTGTACACAGGGACATCATAAGGTAAGACTGTTGCCTAGACCGGTAATACTGTTTCAAAAAGAAGAAAAGTAAATATTGCTTAGCATGCTCACTGGCTGCTTTTTGATTGATATTTCAGATCAAGAAAAAATTTATCACAACTCTAGTAAATTAGCTCAAATGTCAGCGGAAGCTGCTACGGCACTCCATCATGAACTACTCCTGCAATGGTCTGTGGACTGAAGGCAAGCACAGATGCTTTGCCATCACCACCTGGATGTAATCACAGCTTCTTGTCTCCAGTCAAGATGAAGTTCTGCTTCTATTTTTATAGACTCTTGATGATTTTGCTTTATTTAGCCAAACTAGCTATACTAAAACCAACTTTTAAATGGAGTATCTGCATACTTGGGTGAGGGGTTTTTTGGTTGAGTTTCCTGATACCAAATTTGAAAAACACCTCTCTTTATGTGTAAAGTGAGATTAAAAGCTTCACGTTTGCTATTTTTTATGCTTGATATTTAGCAGACTGCAAGAGTGTTGGTATTTAATTTTTTTGAGGCATTTGAAAGCAATCTGCTACACACAGCATGAACTACTAGCCAGCACAAAGTGCAACTTCAACAATGTCCTATTAGTTGGGGAAAAGTCTCTGAACATGCTAACCAACCACTGGCTGGGGGCTAAGGATGAAGAGGACATCACTCTTCCTGAGGACCAAATCTCATACTCCATCAAAGGTCTTGGGTGTGGAGGTGCAGCAGAGAGGGCAGGTGGATACTCAGTGTTGGGCTTCCCAAGCAGCAAAAGCTTTAGACATGCTTTTGAATAGACGAGGAACAGATCAACCTGTTGGGTGACACCATCCTCCTGCTTCTGAAGGAAACAGCTCATACAGCCTCTGGCCCTTGGACTCTGAGCAAGAGCTTAAAACGTTCTATGAGGTTGCAGTATAGGGCTCTGGAAGGCTAAACTCAGCTTTACTGTATTGGAAATGTTCCACTTTGGGTGTTATTCACATCAGCTAGCACCACATAACAAACTGTAACTCCTCTGTTTTAGCTTGGTATAAAAAGAGCAGAACATTAGAAAACATCCAAAGTTAATCAGAAAATAGGAGAATAAAAAAACACTTCTCAAATTGATTGTACAAACAAGTTTTATTGTCAAAAGAAAAAAAACACAACAACTTATGGCAGGGTTTCAAAATTCAATTGCTGTGTTTTCAATTGAGTACTGATGAACTTCTGATTCTTGCACTTCAAAACTTCTTGATTAGTTTAGCTCAGTCTGAAGAACTTGACTGTATCATAACTCAAGGCACAGCAGCAAAATGCAGTCCTCAGCCTGACATCTGGTCAGGGTTATGCTGCGGATTAATCAGAATGCCTGATACCTGGAGATTTTGTGCACATTGGCTGAGCATCTGATTACAGCAGTGCTATAAATGAGTAAGACTGTATATCATATAGCTTTCCAGACAACATAAGATGTATTCCACTTCAGGAAATTTAGTTTGCTTATTACTTTGCAGCTTGGATTCCAGTTGCTTGCAGAAGTGACCTCAGTGTTCTCGAATTATTTGAAAAGTTTGTTGCACTCAGTAAACATCTTCTTTTACTATCATGGTGAAATTCAAGCATATGGTCATATTATTCTCAGAATCATCAGAGAATCCTTGTACAATAATATTATAATTGCCCTAAAGCAAGCAAGAAAAAACAAGAAAATTAGTGCATAATGCTGCCTACTCTTGTCTAAGTAGCTTCTTCGAATGGTTCTGGTGATTTTTTTTTCAGTTAGGACTGAAAAAGACATTCCCGTCATGGACTGTTCTCATGGGTATAGTCAGATATATCAGTATATACATATATAAAAAATAGTGCTCAGCTTTCTTCTCATGACCAAAGTACTCAGGAACAGCAGTCTCTGGTCTAGCAGAGTCCTATGGGAAAGTGTCAGGCATGCCATAAGTACTTCATCTATTGGTGGACTGCTCACGGTAGGAGATGTTCCTGTCCGCTACCAGCTCTAGGGTTACAAGAGATGTTGGGATGGATGGAGACCAACACTGTTAAAGGCCCATGGGCTTTGGGACAAAGGGAGGCTGGAGATTTTTTATCAGTAGGAGCTCCTTAGTGACATTTTTAGGGATTTATAGGGATGATAAGGGTTTGGAAAGGCTCAGACAGCTGATGGGGCAGGTGTTGGAAGAGAGTGGGTCAACCTGATGACTGGTGCTACTCTTGGTTTAACAGTGGAGCACTGCATTTACTTTTGGATATTGTTATTCCTCTTCAAATCTTTGAAAACGGTTTCATGGAGTAACAGACCATCATGTGCAGAGAATGTAAAATAAAGAACAAAATAGGCAGAAAGAATATGAATGGATTTACTCAAACAGGTAAAAGGAAAACCAGTTTACCAAATAAAATGGAATTATTAAAGTGACATTAACTGATATCTTTGGTCTTTTCTTCTATTAAATAAAGAAGGAATAATAGAGAAACAAAAACCCGAGGGCATCTAGAATTTCAGGGATGCTACCATTTTAGACTCATCACTTCAATCATGAGAAAGTTTTCTGACATTTCCTCTTCTGTTTTCTACAGTTTGGGTGATCATCTCTTTTCAGAAAATATACACCTGTAAGTATGTGATTTTACTATTATTATTTCTTTATATAAAATGTCAGAAAGTACCTTTAGAAACGATGTTCTTAAACCTTTAATGTCAAATTCTTCTACAAGTGTTTCTGTAAAACAGAGATAATTATAATACAAATGGTTACTTAACCATAAAGCCATCAATCAGACTGCCTAAATAACTTCAAAGCAATATGGTATATCTCTCAGAAGCAGGTGCCAATGTCATTTACTCTTCCACTGATAAAGCACTCACCTGTTTCTTCTATCAGAGTTCTGACTATTTGTCAAAAGTATGTTAAAAATAGGAATTAATCACAGTGCTCCTCCAGCATCTCCTCCAAACACATCTTACTGTGTTAACTCCACAGAGAACTGATACTGATTTTTAAAGAAAAAAACCCACAGACTATGTATTTTGACCTCCTCACAGGTCTTTTTGGCCTTAAGTCTGACATCCTGCCTGAATTCTCTAGATCTGAGCCTGTGTCATATTAATGCTGGGTAGCCCCTACTAGAGGTTTGACTCAAGCATTATACCTTGGTGTAGAGAATCTCTTAAAAAGCCCTAAATAAACTATGTTCTGGATATTAGTAGTGCCTATAGTGCCTCTCAAGTTTTCTGTACAAGTCAGTCAAATGTAGTCTTTTCCATGTAATTTTAGAAATGTTAATAATAAGTGAACATAAATAATTATGAACATGGAAACTGCAGTACAAGGATGTTAAAACACAGACTTTGGACATTTTCTCTTTTAATGGGGTTTTGGCATTGGAGAACTGGCTGCTCTGAAGTCTGCTGCCTACTAAGCAAGGCCTAGATTGTGGAGAGAAAAATCTGTTTGCATGTTTTGATGGCACACCAACCTCCTTTCAGCATTTCACACACTGAGTATTCATCGTCAGTTCCGCTGCACAGGACCTGTTTCCAGTGAAGCACTTTGGTACCATCGTGCCAGACATGGAAGACAATCTTCAAAAAGGTGATGTCACTTCCTAGTTAAAACATTGCAAGTAAGGACATGGTATCTGGCAGGGACAAACAACATATATGCAGACATGCTACATAGAAAATAATATTTTTCTCTGAAATACAATATTTTTTTAAGACTCCCCCCAAAACTGGCAAAAATATGTATCTTGAAAACTGCTACTTCCACACACACACAAAAAAAAAGTCAAAACCAGCTAGTTTTCAAAAGAAAAAAAACCCTTAAAAATATTTGAGCAACTAATTTCAAAATCTGTTTTAATTTCTCCAGTAAAGATAACAGCACAGCTAATTTAAACAGATGCTCAGATGAAGGCTTTAATTTTAGGTACATGTGGCATGTCCTGAATGCTGGTAGCCATCATAAAGGTATCTTTCCAGCAAAGCAAACCTAGTCCACCTCCAGAGTTTTTATTCATAAAGTGAAGTTTATGATACAGCCATTTCATAAACATTTCATTCACTCACCTTGCCAGCTTAAAGCTGGATTTAAAGATTACAGTCGGATTCAAACATACAATACAGTACCATATCCAGCCTCTGGAAAACACATATTCTTCACAGAAGTTCTGCCATACATGGATGGCCTAATGATATCCTCTCTTCTTAGAAAGACTTGGGACTTCTTCAGGCCAGAAGAGCTTGTGTGCAGCAAACCTTGTCTGCTGCTCCCAGACAAACGCACGTGCACCAAAACCATCTCAGATTTGCACACAGAGTGCCAGACCCTGTGCAGGGCTCTGGTAACTGCTCCAACAAGTAAAACTCAAACACACTTATTTTCACAGATCATCATTTCTGGCCATAATTATCCAAGTTTATCCATTCCATTTTCAGTCACAGAAACTGATTTCCTAAATCATCTGGCCTTTTGGATGAAGGGCCAACTTTTCACTTGTACTTGATTTTCTGCATTTGCAGGTTATAATTGTCTAGTTAAGAGATACTCACTTGGAATCCAGTTAATAGTAGCCTTCCAGACGTATGTGTTCATGATGCTGCAAGGTGTCAAATTAAACATGAAAGCATGAGCTGTAGAATCTATAGGAAAACAATATTTTATATTGATAGTGTTAATAGGCTTCTCCATGAAAATGATAAAAATATACTTATATACACTCTCACAATAAACACACATTTTAAAATGTATTTAATATACAATATATATGCCTTAGACAATATTAAAAATATTAGATAATATATAAAATTGTCTAATATTTGTAGTAAATACTAAACATGCATTTTAAATTTTATTATTAATTATTAATTATTTTAAAATTATTAAAATTTTATTAATTGCTTAGAGGTAAAACCAAAATAATATTTTTTTTAAGTAACAAGAAAACTCAGTTTTTTGGTTGATGATATTTTGCACACAATTATTAATTATATTAAAATTATTAAAATTTTATTAATTGCTTAGAGGGTAAAACCAAAATAATATTTTTTTTAAGTAACAAGAAAACTCAGTTTTTTGGTTGATGATATTTTGCACACAAAACCCAGGCAAAAATGCCTTTATCTTTTGAAGATACATAAAAACTTTAGCAGCATTAAGCCAGCATGGTCCTCTGATGAAAATATCCCTACTTATGCTAACCATGTAACGTATATAAACTTGCTGACAACAGCTAAAAACGTCTTCAATGTACCAGCATACTTTCTAAGATAAGGTAAATTAACCTTTCAGTAGATTTGCTCTGAGTGACCCACCTAGCATCTTTAGAATATGCAAAATATCAGCCCATGACACAGACATGGCAAGAAGGGACAAACTATGCTGTCCCAAAATCTGATACCCTAGCCAGCCAGAATATCACATTCCCTCTTCTTTTACATATACTTCAGCCTCTTCATTGTATTATATTTGTTAAATCAATATGCACAATTTATACAAGAGAGCAAAGTAGGTTTAAATTCATTATCTTCTAGTATTTCCTGAACATGCCTGCTTTACTTGAGGATAAAATTCTCTGTCTTAGCTGCTAGAACCAGCATTGTGGTAATATTTACGCCTATGAAATATAATTCTTGTAATATGGTAATTAATAACAGAAATAGACTTGAGCTGAATTTCTTTGTGTTTTTCTGTATTCATCAAAGAAAGAAACTTAAAAGAAAATTTGCATTTCCTCAGTCTACAGTAATTATCATGCATACTTAGAAAAAGAAATTGCTATATTTTACTTACCACAAAAAGTATATGACATTTCAAGATCTGATGATACACAAAGAAATTCACTGACTCCAGAGGTGAATAAAGTGAAAAAAATAAGTCCAAACATAATTACTTTTTTTTGTTCAGTATCTGACAGACTAAAACTTTGTTTTGAGGAAAGAGGAACAAAATTCAGCACAGTCATCCTCAGTCACACATCTTCAGGGAAAGTTCAGTTATTTTTCAAATTCTCTGCAATCTTAATTCATCCTACTCCAGCACCATCAGTTATCATCACAATAAATTTGTGAAGAGAAAGAATTTGTACTTTTGTTGCTATATTTTCCCCAGACAACGCAGCTCAAGCCACGAGTGAAAAGTGAAAGACAAAACTGTGTGAAATGGGGAAGTGAAGTAAAAACATGATTACCAGAAGTATGTAAACGGCAAGTATAGTTGACTCATCAGGCGTAAGATTTTTAAAGGCGTAATTTCAAACACAGAGTTTCCTGTACCTATTAAAGAAGAGAAAAATCCTCAAATGATGAAAACCAAGTCCACTCTTTTACCACTATGTAGTCAGTAACTCTCATTACCTTTCATAATAAATTTCTCACAAAGCTCACAGTGCTTTAAGACCACACCAGAAATCTGGAGGAGTGTAATCAGATGATGTATTTCCAAATGGAGCTGAACGCAACCATCTGACATGTTACTGAGCAGAGCCACCGGTGTCCTGCATGATGACATTTACCACCCTCAAAGCTGTATCTATCACAGTTATGCTTCTTAGGGAGAGAAAACTTAAAAATCCATGAAATTACAACTGATAATTCCCACATCTGCCCACCAGAGTCTCTCTGTGACCTTCTCCCAGACTTCCCCACAGTCTCTGCTGGTGAAGCAGCACTGCATGGTTTGCCCAAGAGCACAGAGCCATGCAAAGGCTGGGTTGAGGTGGACCCCAACCATCAGTCAGTTACTAACAAAAGCAGTCAAATTTTGATTGGGATGTTTCAGTAAGAACATAGAATCTACCTGTCACAAGTGAAGGTAGATTACACCTGATTTTATCCTGGGATGTTGAAAACATTCCAGGCTGCAGATTTTGATACCCAAGTTTGAGACACCAAAACAAAACTCTTAAAGCACTTTAGATACATTCCCTTATTTATGTCTGTTAGTGCATTACACAAAGAATGACATATTTGCCTGTATCTGTTATATCAATTATGTGGAGCAAACTGGGTCAGCACTTACTGCACAAACCTGACAATACTGCTAGTCCCAGCTACAGAAACAGATCAAATAAAAGCTATTAACTCATTAGCTAATAACTCATCAAGAGAGCACAATCACCATGTAATTGACAGAAAACACAATTAAATTTAATTTCTCACTAGAATAAAATATGGAAGCCTACTGAATTTATGGGAGAATGACTTACAGAAATTAATCAGATTATTTCTCACAAGTGACCTTCTTGATTTTTATGTACATCTGCAGGCTCCTCTTAGATCAGGAATTGTTTGTTGGTTGGTTTTTTTTTTAAATAGAAGCAGTATATAAAATAGACAGGTATTTGCATTTGTGTTAAGCAGGAAACTTAATAAAAATTAGAACAAATATAACTTAATCAATTGTTCTGACTCTTCCCACTTCCCCTTACAGTGACTAAAAGCCTTTACTCTCACAAATTCTGTGTATACAAAAAGTAATATTTTACATATTATAAAGAAGCAAAATATTAAGAAATTAGTTTTCAGAAGTCTGAGCATGTAACACAAAAGATAATTTTGGAATAATGACATGTTCAAAACCATGACTGATTGTGCCCAGAAGATCGGGGGAGTTCCCAGACTAGTTAAGGAAGGTGAGAATTCAATTACAAGTGCCTGGAAGTACCAACTAATGAGTTAATACATGTAATAATTCACAAACTAAAAAACTGAAAATTTAATGTTGCTAGAGAATTCTCCTCAGTGTTTCCAAACTTCTAGCATTTGGCTTTTAAGTAGAAATTCAGAATTATACAACTTTCCTGACAGATCTCCAGGGTACATACGTCACACACGGATTTTTGCTGTTGTTTAACAGGATACTATAAAACATATAAACCCTCTGTGATCATAGCAATAACACAGTTTTGTTTCAAGATGGCCAAAACTTGCTTAAAAAGAGTAAGATACGCAGTGAAATTGAAATAAATCAGGAAGGCTGTAAAAGCTGGAAAAAAGAAATGGAATAGTGAGACAGCCACAAAGGAGTGATTAGGCAACCACTAAAGAAGAGATGCCTTGTGCACACACAGTCAAAAAAATATTCCTTTCAATCACAAAGTCGTGGTCACTGGTATGGAGAGAGTTTAAGCAGTAAGAAGCCAAGACAGGCTCTCTGCTGAGTCTTCTGTCAGTCCTTGAGACTTAGCACAAGTCACAGGCCAGTCTGAAGAAGGCATGAGACAGCACTGACTGTACCCTACCGATAGACTCGATCACGCAGCTGAACGTGAGTCCCTCTGTGGCCAGACTTGTGCTGGCGTTGCTGCACAGACCAGAAAGAGCAATGCAAATTTACAAGATTATAGATAAAAGCTCTCTTAATATAAACAAAGACAACCTCTCTGTTGAACTCAGTGACTTTCTAGACCTGGATCAAGCTTAGGTGTTTTTTTCAGATACTTGCTGCAGCAAAGATATAGATGAGGAATTAGTCCCCCCTGGTGGTTCAGACAGACAGACACATGGGGAAACCTCTGTACCCTCTTCTGCTCCTTCCTTATTACACTTTCATTGTACAAGTCAAGACTATTACAATGCTTAAAAAAATCAGCTAAGGAAGCTACATTTTAAAGGATCTGGCTGTCCAAATGGGAAGACAGGAACAATAATTGCTACTGGTATTAGTGCTAAAGTATCACTGATGGTCATGATTATAAAGCAAACAACTGTGATCACTGTGTCTGGTCAAATTGTCATTAAATCAAAATAACCTCCGTAATTTTTAAATCTTTTCACCAAATTCAGTTTTATCTGCTTGTGGCTTTTGATGTCCCCTACTGATGCTATTCATAGAAGTGATCTCTTGTGATGCTCACTAAACACTCCAAACCAGTGCACTGTGGTGTGAAGAGTCTGTTCCGTCACTTTCGAGTCAATATGAAGGTTACAGGAGAAGGATATAAAGTTCTACATATTTTGATTTTGCTAAAAGCTCTTTCTTTACTGTATCTTTCTCTTACATACACTGATCCAGAAGGAAGGTGAAAAGTAGAGTAAGGGAAGTGGAAAGAGCTACACAATAATGTTACTTCACTAAAGTTTTGTGACAACTTACTTCAGTTATTTTGAAATCATTTGCAAGAATATTCAGTAGGGACCAACTCTGATATCCAATTAACAGTACATAAATCCAAGTCTAGAGAATTTAGGATTTTATAACAATGACTTTTAATTTCTCTACATATGAGATGTTGAAAGTAGAAGTTTATTCCAGGCCTTCTCACCGATTTTTGGTTAAAATCCTTAAAGTAATTAATGATATTTTTATCTTCTTTCTCGATATATTTAAAAAGTGCTTAACTTACTTATTATTGCTTTTCAAAATTATCACTCTGTATCGTTGACTGCCAATGAGTAGTTTGACCAGATAAACACCTATAAGTCACTGAAATCTTCCTCAGGAAAGATTTATAATATATATGATCATAATATCCCATCACAGAAAAATAAATAACAGTACACCAATATAGCAGAGGAAAGTACTCCATCTCAAAGTGTTAGTCAGACAGAATTAAAAAAGATTATGCCCTAGTTCTTGGCTTGTAACAAAGCACCACTTTAATGGAAAACTCTTTTAAGATGTTAACCACATTTCTTCTATAAAGAATGAGGCAATAATAATTTTCCTTGCAGGACCATTCATGAAAGTTTTTGAAGTAGATCTTTTTGCATCTGGAAGCAGATACGTTTATACCTTCTGATTATGGCTTTAGGGTTGATGCAGAAGGCACTCCAATATAAGGGGATTATATATAAGGCATAAGATGCATTCACAGAACAAAATCACCCTCAGCTATCAAGATGAAGAACAGAAAACTGTAGACTCTCTTCTCAAATCCTCTCAACCGATCTTTGACGTTGTTTAGAGTCATGCCCAAGGATACAAGAAATGGGTAGAAGTTTCATCTCCTCTACATGCAGCTGATGAAGTGCTTGAGAGAGTCAGGAGAGTCTGCTCCAAGAGCAGTGCGCTAGCACGTATCCAGTGGTGAGTTGGTAGCACTTGAATAAGAAATCAAGTAGTTGTTGAAAGATAGAAAAAGTGCTGTGCATTATTCTGAATATATTTAAGTGTTGTATGCACTTTGGCTTAGTGGTTTGATTTGAATACATCACATTAAACCACTGGAGACTATTAAAGTGGAGCAAATACATACCAGGTGGTATCCTGTGGAAACAATTATGTTGGAAATAATATAATCACTGCCTCTTGCCATTAGGCTTATGGTTCGTTTTTTCCAAGCCAAGTTTAGGATTAAAGCTCATAGTTGTACTCTGAAGTATTCATTAAACTAATAAAGTTGTCAAAAAGAAGAGAAAGCTGAGGGTGAAGAGAGAAGAAAGGGATGTGTCCTACCTGAGGCTGACAGCAAGCACACCATAGCAACACTGTCCACCCTGGAATTCCAGAAATGGAGACAGCTGGACATATTTTGCGGCTGTCTGCTCTTGTTCTCTGTTATTCCCTGCTTAAAATAGCTGCTTGCTGAGGTCTGTGTAGCTCTGGGATAATCTTATTATAGTGGATCCAACTCCTAGCTAGCACACTTGTCCCAGTTCTCAGGCGGGCTGCAGCAGGCTGTGCTGTACGTGGGGGCATGAAGAAATCTGTGGTATGAGGCATGAAGAAATTTGTGGTATGACCACGAAACTTCAGAGCAACCAAATTACAGCAGCTTACCAAGTTTCCATCTATTAAGTTATACTGAGCAATTGTAATAGCTCATGTCTGCACTTAATGCTTTGTACTCCCTTTTAACAGCACGAAGAGATTTTCATGAAGTTTCCATCACCTAAATTAGGCCCTCACAGTGCCACGCAAAAATCTACAGATTTTCCTCATCTTTGCCAATGTGATGACTGTGGTTTGTAATAAAGTGAGCTCCAGCCAAATTAGTTACCTTTTATTTCTTCAGAGTGTGATTAAGAGTGTGAAGTACCTCAGAGCTATAGAGTTCTCTTTGAAGGATCAAAAAGGGATAATTTTCTCATCAAAATTTTTTATATTTGCAAGAAAAGGCTGAGGGTTGTGGGATAATTCAGTTTAAAAAATAACTTTAAAGAATGACAAGAAGCCTTGTACTTCATAATTAAGAACAGATAGGGACTAATGAATAATAATGTGGACAAAGCCAAAAAGTTGAGAAAAATGGAGAGGATCACCAACAAAAAAACAGCACATAGTCAAAGACTGAAAAGAAAAATTTGCATGTATCGTGACTATTTTCCCAGGGAAACAAAAAATCAGTCTTCTACGAACTTTCGTGGAAGCTTTTAAGGCTGGAAGGCGATAGGAAACGTGTCTAGGAAAGAGGCTTGAGTTATTTCATACATTCCTGCTCTTTATGTCAGATTAAGTGAAACTGGTACCAGGGCCGGATGCGACACCCAGCTCCTACAGACAAGTGATTGGTTGGCCCTGGAAAGGCTGCAGGAGCCGGCAGCCTTCCTCGTAGGTGTTGCCTTGCAAATAAGGCAGTTTGTAAATCAGGTATTTCAGAAAACTGGGCTTCCATCAGTTATTTCCTTCGGGATCTCCAGGTATGAGCACATTCTCCGGATCTTACAAACTGTTTCTTCCATATTGTACACAAGTTACCTACACCCAAAGAAATATCAGCAACTTCCAGGGAAGAAAATGCTAGTAGGTAGTAATATTTCCACAACAAAGGGCAAAAAGCTGGTGAACAGTCCGGAACACCAGGGGAGACTGAGGGAGCTGGGATTGTTTATTCTGGAGAAAAGGAGCTTCTTGGGGGTACCTTATAGCCCTCTATAACTGCCTGAGATGAGGTTGTAGGCAGGTGAAGGTCGGTCTCTTCTCCCAAGTCCCAAGTGTCAGGACAAGGGGAAACAACCTGAAGGTGCGCCAGGGTAGGTTTAGATTGGGCAATATGAAAAGTTTCTGCACTGAAGGGGTTGTCAAGCACTGGAAAAGGCTGAGTCACCATCCCTGGAGGTATTAAGCCATGTAGATGTGGGACTTAGGGACATGGCTTAGTGGTGGATTTGGTTGCACTGGGTTAATAGTTGGAGCTGATGACCTTAAAGGTCTTTTCCAGCGTAAATGATTCTATGATGCTGAGTACACACTATAAGTGTAGCAGCAAACAAGCTAGAAATAGATAAAATATTGTCTTTCTTCAGTAAGCTTGGTCTTCTCTTTTCTTAACATAAAAGAAAAAACATACTAATATATTATTTTCAAGTTGCACTTTGGAAGTATGAAGTATTTTTCTGAGGTTGTATAAGTTATCTTCTGGCAGAATTCTGGACTTTTTAATATTATTTTTAATCATCTGTGTGTGGGAAAGCCACCTACTAGCTTAACTTGCATTTCACTGCCAGAACACAAGCAGAAGAAATAATATTTATCTTCCGTATTTTTTTTTTTTGAGAAACTTAGCCAGTGAAATGGAGATATCTTACTATTGCTGCTTAAATCTGAATTGGACAAATCTCAAATTTAACAATTCAAACTTTCTTCAGTCAGAAGATACTGCCTAAGGGGTACATAAATACAAATTTGGGGCCTTTCTTTTATCTTTTCCTGCAAACGCTATTTCCTGTTCTCGCTGTACTTGGCACTGAAAGATGAAGTTGACTTCATCTTTCAATGCAAGCACCAAAAGAAACGAGTGAATGCATCAGACACGGAAAGAGTATTTTTAATTAGATGCAAAGCATCATTTCCATAAGTAGTACAACCAGGTGATCAGAATTGCTTGTTACTGACCTCAGAGGTTCCATGTAATCTTTTTTATATTATTGCTACCCATGAAGTGATACTGGCTTAATGGGGCTCAATCAGGCTTTTACAATTATAGCTGTGTCAACACAAAGAACTGCCTCAAAAATATTGTGATCCGATGATTTGCTTTTTAATCACTCAGCAACTACACTGAGGGCAATTTCAACAGTTAGAAAAACAACATTCAGAAACAGTGATTTAATATGATCTGTAGTGTCATCCTACGACATGAAACTGAAATAATTGCATTGGAAGACATTTAGACTTTTAAACACATATTTTCAGCTAGAACTAAGGGAACATCTTGAATGGTAACTATAATAACTTTCCCTTTGCTTGCAGTATCAGGATACCTTAATCAGTACCAACCATCAGATTTACTTATTACAAAAGGCACTGCTAACACAAAAATACTAATTTGAATTATTGGGGGTTTTTTTATTCAGTAATTTTAAGTCTCAAAATACTTAGGCCCTTCATTATTTGAAAACAAGTGTCTGTCAGTTTATGTGCCTTGGGCTAAAAAATTTAAATCCAACTTCTGCATCCTCAGGCATGCAGAACCGGTCTAGTCGCATGAAAAGATCTGATCCTCTGTTCAGTTGAACTAGAGGTGGCCTTCTTAGCAGTACTGAAAATCAAGAAGTATGGTTTTTAAAGACACAAGATCTAAACAGTATTCTACAGGATACTCTGTTTTGCTTCCCCACCTTACATAAATGCTGACAGAATCCAATTTAACCACTAGCTGGTAGAATTTTATTTGAGCCAGTTCAAATGCAGCACCTGTTCTCGATGGGATATTCCCAGAGCAAACCTTATGCCAAGGTGTTTTCCCAGGCCCAACCAAAGAGAGGCTTCTTGCTCTCCACTTCTGGGGACAGGGTTGCTTGGAGTGGGACTCCACCTTAAGAAACCATTTAGTAGCTGTGAGTACCCAGAGATTACTGTGATGCAGCCATTCTCCCTATCTTCTCTCCTCCAGGAGGAGGCTGTAGCTGGAATTAGCAAGAATACCTGTCTGCTTTCCAAAGACTCCTCAAAGGTCTCACAAAGGGAAGGAAAAGCCATCTTCACTCCCTTTACACCACCAACAGCATTGACAAAAAAGCCTGATACTTTTAGATTAAGTACAATAATTAAGGCTTAAGAGATTAACTACATACTTCATAGGTAACGACTACTGACCATTTTTCTCTTAAGGATGGTTTCCTTTGACATGGAGATGGTGACACTGCCCCACAGCCCATGCATTTTACAGTTCTCTGGAGAGCTAACAATAAAAATCAAGCCAAGAATAAACAAGTGCAAGACAGATCTAAGCACCCTTTTTTTACTACATTTTATGTTATTAACTCTGAAGAAACCGTCACATTGTTTATAATATTTTTAAAAAGTGTCCTTTTAATACATTCCAAAATGCATTTGGAAAACTCCAGCTACCTGACTTAAGAAACTGTAGTAGAATTTTACATTCTTTTACATACATAGCACTGCATTAAGAACAATGATACTGATATCCATTATCTTCAAATTATTTCCTTTCATCAGCTTCCTTTAACTCCTCTAACTTAAAAAGGGGAGATTTGTCATAGCCCATGAGATGGTTATAGTCCTGAGGATTCGGAAAAAGCGTCGGATTAACAAGCATTGATTTTGTTTTGGCATAAAATGTTGTAAACATCTTGGTGATGTCTGGAATCTTTACATCTTTCTGATGGAAAACAGTTGCTTTTTCTGCCAAGATGGCATTGTAGGTAATGGCTGTATAGGTGTCCTTTTCATCTTTGTAATAGAGTCGGATCACGTAACCTTTTGTAAGGATATGCAAAGTTATCGGAGTTACAAACGTAAAAAAACCGATCACCCCATAAAAGGCAGCTTGGATAAGCAGACTTTCCACTCCAATACCACTTTTGAGCATGATGTAGGGCATCATGAACAGGTTGAATACACTGGTGGAGTAAGAGAAAAACCTCACACCTACATAAAAACAGAACAAAAAGAAAACAAAGGTTAACACTTAGAGTACAATTTTCTCTACAATTACGTATGGTCTGCTACCATATAACAACACCCTTCCCTTTGTTTTTAAGGTCACAGAGAAACTCTTGAAAACTCAGCCCTGTCTCATAAACAAATCAGAATGGTGGCAATATGTTCATGTTTTACAGAGTATTCAAGAAGGGTTTATCAAAGCTGGCTCTATCTCTGACGCAGTCACTACCACCTGTTATGCCCGACTATGAAGTTCTTACTTCACGGGCAGTTACTAAATGCTGTTAAAACAAACAAAATAAAGGCAATACACAGCACTTCAAGTCACATACCTAACACTGTCTTTGCCAAATTTCCTTTATAAACTAATCTTCCGTGTTCTGGGTGTTCGTGAGGGGAGGATGTGCTGAGGCTGCGAACAGCCACTCCTTGAAAAGACGTAACCTGGAAGATGAAAGAAGTACATGGCCAAGCAACATCAGTACTACACTTCATATCTATCTGTACATATATATACACATATATATGTCTGCATACCTGTATATATAAATACGCAAAGCTTCTCCTTGCCCTGAACCCATTCCCAGCATCTTAGACTAGGGATTAAAGTTAGGTTACACTACGAAGCATCCCACAACCCTCCACTATTTTAATCATCTTACATGTAAATATCCCAAGTTAGCACTAAATGTATGCAACCCCAATGCCAAAAACTCAGCCTGCAATCAACTTACACATGGTTTTGCAGGGAGATATTCATGGCACACACGTTCGCCAGGTCTCTGAGCACGGAATCATGGAATGGCTTGGGTTGGAAGGGACCTTAAAGATCATGTAGTTCCAAGCCCCCTGCCACGGGCAGGGACACATTCCACTAGACCAGGTTGCTCAGAGCTCCATTCAACCTGGCTGTAAAAACCTCCAGAGACAGGGCATCCACATCTTCTCTGGGCAACTTGTTCCAGTGCCTCACCATCCTCGTAGAAAAGAATTTCTTCCTAATATCTAACCTAAACCTATCCTCTTTCAGTTTGAACTCATTGTCCCTCGTCCTGTCACTACATGCCCTTGTAAAAAGTCCCTCTCCATCTTTCCTGTAGGCTCCCTTCAGGTACTGGAACGCCGCAATTAGGGTATCCCTAAGTCTGCTCTTTTTCACGCTGTACAAACCCAATTCTCCCAGTCTTTCCTCGTAGGAGAGGTGCTCCAGCCCTCTGATCATCTTAGTGGCCCTCCTGTGGACTGGTTCCAGCAGGTCCATGTCCTTCCTGTGCTGGGGACGCAGCACTTCAGGTGGGTCTCACCAGAGCACAACAGAGGGGCTGATCTCGGGTACGTCCCGAATGCCTCCTCGCTTCCCTCTTCGGACTCCCACTTTCCGTAAGGACAAAGCCGCGAGCCCCAGGGCCCCGCTCCTCCCCCTCGTCCCCACATCACACCCAACCTGCTGGGGCCCGGCGGCGGGCAGGGCGGCCCGGCAGCGGCGGGCGGCCGGGAGCCCGCGGTGCGCAGCGCCCCGGAGCCATGCGGAGCCCCGGCGAGAGGCGGCGGCGGCGGGGCCGGCCCTGAGCAGCAGCAGCAGCGGTAACATGGCGGGGCCGCGGCCGCCCGGCACAGCCCGGAGCGGGGCGGAGCGGAGCGCACCCACAGCCCCGCCGCGCCGCCGACCCGCCGCACTTTGGTTCCGGCCGCACGAAGGGCCCGCCCGGAGCCGCGGCGACCCCGCCAGGCCCCGCGTCGGCACCGCCGGAATCCCAGGGTCAGTCAGGCTGGAAAGGACCTCTAACATCGAGTCCAACCTACGACTCAACACCACCTTGTCTGCTAGACCATGGCACTAAGTGCCACAGTCAGTCTCTTCTTAAACACCTCCGGGGACCTCCCTGGGCAGCCCACTCCAACATCTAATCACCCTTTCTGTGGAGAAATTTTTCCTAATATCCAATCTAATCCTCCCCGGTGCAATCTGAGGCTGTCTCTTGTTGTCCTATTGCTTGTGACTGGGGAGAAGGGACCAACCCCCACTTGGCTACAGCATCCTTTCAGGGAGTTGTAGAGAGCAATGAGGTCACCCCTGAGCCTCCTTTTCTCCAGGTTAAACTACCTCAGCCACTCCTCATAAGACTTGTGCTCCAGACCCATCACCAACCTCGTTGCCCTTCTCTGGACTCCCTCCAGCACCACAATGTCTTTGGTGGAATGAGTGGCCCAGAACAGGACACAGCACTCGAAGTGTGGCCTCACCCACGCCGAGTACAGGGGGACCATCACTACCCTAGTCCTGCTGGACACGCTATTCCTGGCACAGGCCGGGATGTCTCTGGCATTCCCGGCCGCCTGGGCACAGGCCAGCTCAAGTTCAGCCGCCGTCCAACAGCACCGCCAGGCCCTGACACGGCGAGCCGACCTCTACCCCCTCAGGAAACTACCCGCCCCAGCATGCACTGCTCCGCCCGCGCGGCATGCCGGGAGCGCGGTGGAGGCGGGGCCGGAAGTGGCGCGCGCCCGGGCGGAAGCGCTGGGAGGCAGCCGGGCCCACAGCGCGGCCCTGCGAGCGCGGAGGGAGCGGCGCCAGCGGTGAGAGCCGGGACACCCCCCGGGCCGGGACACCGAGGCACCGCGGGCCGGGACACCCCCCCGGACAGCCGCCGCTCGGGGCAGCGGGCCTCGCCCCGCAGCAGGCGGGAGGGGGCGGGCGGAGGGGGCGGAGCGGCCCCCGGAGCCGTGGCGGGGCGCGGGGCGCGGTGCCAGGCCGGGGTTCCCCCGCCGGGGGGTTGGCGAAAAGCGCGTTCCCCGCCCCCAAAGCGTTCTCCTTGGAATCCCGGCGCCGCCGGGCACGGGGCTCCCCGGAGCCCGTGCTCTGTTTGTGCATCGCTCCCAAAGTCCTGCCGTAAGTGACGTTCGCCCTTTTCCTGCGCCAGGCCCTAGAGAGAGGAGAAAAGCTAAGGCCGAAAGAATTTAGGCTGCGCCCCCAGGGTTTGTTGTGCCGAGGCGAGAAGTGCTGGTTAAAGTCCTTTGGCTCTTTGGTAAGCAAAGCAAGGAAAAGGTTATAAGCCTGCACGTAGCAATAAAAATAAGCTTTTGCGTGCTATGTGTACCTCAAAGGGAGGTTCTACTTTTTAAAAAAAAGGAACCTGAGCGTTGTAAGTTATTGCTGGCTTTATATATATACGTGAAAAGGTGATGGTGATGCTCGCACTTTGCTTTGACAGCCAATTTAACCTCACACCAGGTAACATTTATTAAATATTAAGAATGTTTGGAACTGTAGATTTAAGTTAAGCTTTGCACTGTGAGGAGACCTAGATAGTCATAGGCCACTTGTTTACTTGGCTTTGATGAAACTTGGAAGCAAACCAGAAAAACACAGATAAACAGGCAGGCGAGAGACCTGTAGGATAAGAACCCCTTTGGGCACTTATTTCTGAATAATTCCCTACGTGCTTCCAATTTACTTGTTTTGCTATATTAAGGACCAAAAAAAAAAAAAAATTGGGATGGATAAATGTTTATTAACTGAAGACTTACTCAGAAGGAGAATAAGTTTTTATTAGTTTTTCTATAGTGTATTGGCTACAATCTTTGCACATGTAGGACACACCTTATGCCTTTGGATCAGCTTTTTCATGTGCTTAAATTATAAAATTTTTGCTACCATGTCCATTGGAAGCTTTAAGATGATCTTTAGAAACTTCTACCACTTCAGCACTTAGTTTTTTTTCTTGTTGCATCAGAGAAAAGCCACTTGAGATTTAATTTTTTTTATGCCAGGATCGGTAATGAACAGATGTAGATAGTTTCATGTAGTCTTAATGTGAAGACTCTTTACAGTGGTGCAGTGAGGTAAATGAGTATCTTTTGAAAGGATACTCAGCTTCAGGTGTTTACCGTGTTCTGTTATTTTCAGAGTATGTCACAAGAAACCCCTAAATTTTGTCACAAAAATATGGGGTTTGCCAGATTACAATAAAGGAATTTTGATGTACTTTGGCAAGTTCTCTTTGCACCTAGAAAGGTTTGGGATTTAATTATCTTCACTGTGGGGTAGTTTGCATGACTGTAGTAGTTTCTGATTAATGCCTGTAACAAGAGGGCAGTAATCCATGCCCTTTGAAATTTTGCAGTATGCCAGCAGCCTTTGGCAGGAGCTTACAGTTCAGGGTTTTTATTGTATGTTTGGAAGAAAACATTTGATGCTCCCCTGCCCATTTTTTTTTTTCTTGAAACTTTCGTGGGAATTACTAAGAAGGAAAGTTTCCTTAGACAGAAAAAGAAACCTTAGGTGGGATCTTTGATACTCCATCTATTGCATCACCAATCTCAACTAACATTCACCTGTAATTTACCTTCCTGTTGCATTCCAGTGTGACCCCAAACATCTGAATTTTAGTGCCTGTGAGTACGGAATAGTGAATCAGCTGATTTGGAAGTCGTGCTGTGCCAGTTTCCCATCATGTTTTTTCAAAATATGCTTTGATCCCTACTTACATTAATTATTTTTCAATGTGGACTGAGCAGTGAATGCTAAACTGAGGAGCGGTGTCTTTAAGCAAATTACTGTACAGGATAGGATAGAATTTAGCATTTAACAGTAGGAGGCTTCTGTTGCAACACGTAGCAGCCTTTGATAACTGATCAACTCTTACTGATGCACAAATGACACCCAAAAAATTGTCAACATTTGGCTTCTAAACTATTGTAGTAATAGTGAAGGCATTTGTGTGTGCTATTTGCCACACATTTCTCGGAAACTGATAGTGTGGAGTACAGAAGTGTCACCAGCTGAAGCAATACAGAAGCCATATGTGTGTGCCCTAGCTGATGAGTTGGAGGCCATTTGAGTTTCCTTGAACCAGAATGAGATTTTTTTAAAGAGTTTCCCTGTGGGATCAAAGAATCTGAGTGCTTGAAATGTTTGCATAGATTTAATTTTCTTGTGCTGACCAGAACAGAGCAGTGGGGTTCTGGAAGCCGTGCAGTGGTTGCATGTGTTCAGCTACATATGTCCTTCCAGTCTATTCTACTCTCATCAGCATACAGGATGTATGAGGAAATGACATTCTGGAATTTCTGGGAAAGCCTGGGAGATGAGCTCGCAACTTTGGGAGTGAGGTGGGACGGTTGTGGATGTGCTTCGATTTTGTTCTTGCTTTTGATGGTCAAGGGAAGCAGGGAAGAGGTCAAACTAAACTCACTACACCATGGTATTTCTTGTAAAAAGTTGTAAAAAGAAGATGTTAAAGTATGCCAACAAGGACACTTGCCTTGTGTGGCTTAGTTGCTGTGTTTTGTGATACTTTGCTATAGTCTACCTCATTCATGTAAATATTCTGGCAACTTGTGACAATTTTCAGCTCTCTAGTGTGTGATGAGAATGTTGTTTTCTGCAGCAAAAACTTCCTTTTTCAACTGGCTGGAAGGTTTGTGTTCCAAATAAGCTGATTTTAGTTGTATTGTATTCTCCCTCGTAGATAAAAAAGTGACACATTCCTTTTATGTAAACTTTCCCTTAACAAATGCAGTTTTTGCTAATTCTTTTGTTTGTTTGTTTGTTTGTTATTTAAGGAGGCAAAGCAGAACAGCAATACCCAATATTTTTTGAGATTAAAGTCAGAGAGCTGATCTACCTAATTGGTAATGCCACATAAGCTTCTTGAAGGAATTGTGACTGTACTTCAGCCAAAATTAGTGGTTCTTTGCAGGAGTCTGGAATAGTCAAGTCAGAAATATATAATAAAAACAAGTTCTCAAAACTTGGATTGTTGTCTTCCCAACTGCTTCATTGGTGTAGTCTTGGTGAAGTCAGACAGGGGCAGCTATAAAATTTGGAAAAGTAATTAAAATATAGGTAGTTAACAGGCATCTTCAGAAATCTCAGAACCTCTTAGTCATATTGGCTTGTTCCGGGACACCGGCTTGTTGTCATTTGTGCTGCTGTAGTTATACAGAAGGAAAATGTAGGGATATGTTTTGCATTACATCACATTGGAAAATACACTGTAAGAACATAATTTCTTGGAAGGCAATGCACAAGGTTTCTTGACTTTCCTGTTTCTAACCTATTATTTAAAACTTAAGGCCATGCGGATGTCAAGTAAAAAAGATTGTGCAGAAAATTTCCCTCCATACTCTTTTTACTATGTGCAGAATTGAGAAACTGTGAGTGACAATGATTTCTACATGCTTTATTTTTCTTGTTCATGTTCATTTGCTGGACTTAAACTGAGGTACAGTGTAGGCATAGTTCTCCCTATTTGATGCTTATCTTTTTAATGAATTTTTATATTTATCTTCATTCCAGTTTTATTTTGCTAAGCTAAGGAAGACTAATTTTTTTTTTATAAAACAAGCTCTCTGCTCGTATCAGTAGCTCCTTCCTGTAGTTTTTGTAATTTGAACTTCTTTTTCTTGAAAACAGGAATTCAGAATTGTGTGTGGTATTCCAGACAAGTTGCTGCTCTTGTGCAACAGTGCTCATATCTCTCTCTGTTGCAAAAAATTCCTCAATGTGCATTTGCCTCTTTCTTCCCCACCCTTTTTTTTTTTTCCCTTTGGTCCCATAGAGCTGCATCAATCTATAGTTGACCACAGAATGTCTATACCCCCCCAAATAACAAGCCCTGACTACCTGAAAGAAGATTGTATTGGTCCCTACACACAGGAATCTTGCATTTCATAACATTTAATTTCAGGGGTTTCTAGTATACCATTTTTCAAGACTGGTCGCTTGTGTGTGTTAAGCTTTATTCCCCTTTTGTTGCAATGTTTTCACTTCCATCTCATCCAAATCTACCTATTATTTGCTGGCAGCACTGCTTAAAATAAAAGTTCAACATTTTTTTTTTTGGAGGAATTAGTTATTCTTTTCTAGCCCAGTTGTTCCATGTTTGCCATACCATACTTTATTCTTGTACTCTTGTAGCAAATTCCTTTCTCATTTTAAGATTACCTCTCATATTTATTTAACCCCAGATGATGTAGGAGTCCAGATTGCATCTTTTTTTTTTTTTTTTCAAGGAAAATGATTGATGGATTAATTTTTAGGTATTGGAAAAGTTCAGTGTGTCCTAAATCTTATTAATGCTTACTGTATTTTTATCCTGTTTTCCTTTTTAGAACAATTGAACTCAGACCACCAAGCCTGATAGGTTTTTTTCCTTCTTTGTTACCTACTGTATTTTTTTTCCCTCTATAATCATGGCACTTTTCATTTTATTTATTAATGAATTTATTTATTTATTTATTTATAAATAAATTTATTTATTAAAATGCTTATTTTCAGGACATCTCTAAGGGTTTTTTGGGGTAGACATTTGTTTTCAGTTCTCTACTTTAAATGTATTAGCCTCTTCAAGTTATGCTTTTACTTTACAAGGTCTTAATATATCTGCATTCCCACTAACTAGCCTGTCTTTATTCCTGTATTTAGTAACAGTATTTGTATTGTAAACCAAGGAACATTTTATCCTCGCCAGCACTTCCAAAAAATGGTATCATTCCATGTTTGGGTTTTTTAATTATTATTATTTTTAAATCATAAGTGGTTTCACTGCTCTTTTGGAATATAGCAAAGGGGTTTGTGGCTAGAAAAAGTGATAGCAGAAGTGATCCTCTTCTGCGAAGCAGAAGTAATAATGTAAGGTATCCCTTCAGTTCCTGAGCAACAGATACTCTCCAATAAGATGCTTAATTTCCCATTTACAAAAGCTGTTGGAATAGGGTGAAAGATCCCATCAGTTTTGGGCCCTAACTGTTCCAGCACCCAAATGTAATTTCCTTAGATGAGTTCCTGGAATTACTGAAAATGGTGAAGGCATTTAACACTCCAAAGACAGTGGCAATGTAAGTGAAGGATGGATTTTGCTAATTTCTCCACAGACAATTAAAATCTATTGGTTATGCATGTGTAGTTTGGTTAGGTATACATAGCAAAGTGCCTTTTTGGAAAGATGGAGGAAACATTCAGACTATTTCATATTTGTAGCTATAAAAAAAGGGAGATGGAACAAATCAGTATCAAAGTGCTGTGGAGAAGTGAAGCTATCAGCAGCAGCAAAGTGATCTCTGTAGTGCTTCTTCCAAAGCTTGCAGCTTCCTCAGCTTGCTTACATTATCTTGCTAAACTTTTACCAGAAACGGAGGAGGAAGGAAATGTGGGGAGCGGTCTCTATTCTGGTCTCTTTTGCTGCCCTCAACCCTGGATATCAGCTGGGAAACCACCCGGATTCCCTGGTGCTGTTTTCTTGAATCCGTGGGCACACAATAGTAGTTCATTGATTTGTACTGGGTTAATGTTTAGAGGGTGGCTGTTGACATGAAAGAAATATTAGGACAGTAGGTGGGTGGGTGGAATTTCTTTTTTAAAGTTTTCTTTTCCACAGCAGAGACGCAGTTCAGAATAAAGAAATATAAGTTGTATCTGAACATATTAGATGAGTTTTCCAAATAAGTGCTTTCATTTCTCTAACTCTTTAGATTCATTTTCATGGAGGAATACCTATGCAGCAAGCTGGATATCAGTGTATAAGCTATGGAAGCTCCTGGTTAACTTACCATGTGAATACCTACATTAAATGTCTGAAGTAGATTATCTAGGTGACATTGGTGGTGGTATCAGGAACTGTCAATCTCCTGGGAAGGACAGGTTGGAGGCCTGGTATTTAGTGCATCCTGATTAGACTGATCCCTGAGCCTTGTCTTCTCCAGCCTAAACAACCCCAGTTCTCTCAGCCTCTCCTTGTGTGACAGGTGCTTCAATCCCTTGGTCATCTTTATGGCCCTTTGCAGGACTCAGTTCAGTCTGGCGCATGCTGGACCCAGCACTCCAGATGTGTCCCACTAGTGCTGGGTGGAGGGGCAGGATTATCTGCCTCAACCTTCTGGCAGTGCTCTTAATAGAGCTCAGGGTGCTGTTGGCCACCTTTGCTGTAAGGACATGCTGCTGGCTCATGTTCAGCTTGTCCACCAGCACCCCCAGATCTATTTCTGCAAAGCTGTTTTCCCGCAGGTCGGCCTCTGGACAGTACTGGTGCCTGGGGTAATTTTTCCCAGAGTGAAGGGGTTTGTATTTCCCATTGGTGAACTTCATAGGTTTCTGTTTTCAAAACATGCTGCTCAACAACATTGTATGCTGTGTATTATCATATTCTTTTCTGAAGTGTGTTTATGATAACACAAAGACTAATAAGTAAAGGTGACTTTAAAAATGGTACTGCTGACTCAAAATATTGTCTCTTGTGTTTTTTTCAGACGCTCCTATTGCAAAATCTGCAGTTGAAAAGGAATATTTTTTTTTATAAGAAGAGAATGGGTAAGTTCATAGTCTCAGAATGTTTTCTGTTTTCCTGTGATTTGAAGCATTTTCTCTCTCACACTAGTAGAGGAGTTAGATTGTAAGACTTTAAATGTTGATCATGTCACTGTTTTTCTTGCAGCCCCAAAAGCTAGTTGAACTTCCTTCAAATGTTTTGTAGGAGAATTTTCTCAAGTGACTGTTCATTTATGGAAAGACTCGTTCAGAGTGCATCCATTTAACAAAAAATTTTGCTTGCTTAACATGCATAGTCCTGAAAATGTACATGCTAAAATAGGAATGCCTTTAGGCTTTTACAGTACTAAACTTTTGGATAGTGGACTGTTTTAAGTAATTCTTTGCTTGTTTGTTGGCTAAAGTCAACCTGTTGAATTTTGACTCAGAGATCATAACAAGAACTGATTTCTGGTAAATTACATTGTGTGTGATGTGACTACATCTGAAACTGTTGTATCTGCCTCTACAAATGACTGGCTAATGAAACATGATTGGACAGATTTTGGTTTTATCTGTACTTTTTCTGAATATATTTTAGCATGTTTGGCACTGGCAGTACTTTACTAAAATTGACAATAACTACATGGTAATTCAATTTTAATTTCAAATTCACAAAGCAACTTGATTGGTGGGATGTTTTACTTTCTATACTGGCAACAGTAATTCAGCTTTAAAGATAGCGCTGTTGGGATAAAATAAATGAAGGAATAAAAAGGGAAGGGGGTAAGGCCTTCTGGGGAAGAAAAGCAGAGAGTGGGTATTTAGTGGAACAGAAAAAGCACAGTCAAAACTGCTGTGGGGAGAATTTCCAAATTTCTTTGTATTTAGTGCTTTGGCAGTTTCCCTGTTTTCCATCACAACATGGGTGTGCACTAATGCTGTGTGGTTCTGGATCTGGTTGGGCAGTGAGGGAGGACGAATCTTCATTTCTTCAGTTCAGGAATGCTGACTGCTTTTGTTCTTACCTGTACTTTGGAAAGCATTTTTTTTCCTTGAAGTCTGTGTTTTTAAACATCAGCTATGTCTTTAGGTAACTTTTAGCAAGTTTTAGTGTGGTAAACATGGCAATAGCCTTATGGCGGGAATCAGTAGCATGTTCAATTCACTTGAGAATGTCTAAAGGAAAACTTCATCCCTGCATAGATTTTAGAAATCATGACAGAATTTGGTGATGGAGGAATGAAAGAGGAGAGATGTTAAAATCCAACTTGTGCAAAAATTCTTACCTTAAAACAGATTGCTGGTTGTTTCAGAGGAGATTGGCTCAGTTGGTTAGAGCATGGTGCTAATAAAGCCAAGGTTGTGGGTTCAATCCCCTCATTCACTTTAGAGTTGGACTTAGTGATCTCTGTGGGTGCCTTCCAACTCAGAATGTTTGTGATTCTGTACAAAGTCCCCAGATATGGAGAACGCTTCTGTCTTATTTCTGATTGCATTTGGATTCTTCGGTTTGCAGACATAGTCATAGAAAGGAGTGCAACTTGCCTTATTAGTGTTGTGAATCAGTATATTGTGTTTTGAAACCGTTGTCTTTTTTTCTGTTGTAGATGGAGAAGAGAAAACATACGGTGGGTGTGAGGGCCCAGATGCTATGTATGTGAAGTTAATATCCTCCGATGGCCATGAGTTCATCGTAAAAAGAGAGCATGCATTAACATCAGGAACAATAAAAGCTATGTTGAGTGGACCGGGTAGGTACAAAAGATTTAGTACCTCACATTCTTTGCTTTCACTTTTGGGCAGGTTGATATTTTATTATACAGTGAGTGAAAGTTGGAACAAATGAGAACTTTTCCAGACCCTACCTAGTTCCTGTTTCCAGCAGAACAGTCCACCTCTGTGGGGTATTGTGCTACGAGACTTAAAACTGGACTTTTCTTTGGGGAAGTTAGTGATCATACAGCGTCATTGCTGCTAGTTTCTCATGGTATGAGAACTTGAGGGTATTACATGAAATGTGTAGCTGTCAAGTTCAAAACAAACAAGCTGGTAGTTTTTTATTGCCACCTCCACGGTGGAACTTGTATTCTGTATGGAGTTAATTTTCTACACAACAGGTCACATGGTCCTGTGCTTTAATTTGTGACCAAAATAGGGCTGATAACACACCTCTGTTTTAGCTGTTGCTGAAAGGTGTCTGCACGCTCTCCAGGCCTTCTCTGTTTTTCACTCTACCCCCACCCAGTAACCTTCCAGACAGGAGAGTGTGCAGGACGTTGGGAGGGAACACAACCAAACAGATGACCCAAACTAGTGAAAGAGATATTGCATGCCATGTCATATCATGCTCCAAAGTTAAAAAGAGAGAGAAGAGAGTTAGGGAGGTTAACCCCCTTTTGCTTGGAAACTGGCTGGGCATCAGTCTACCCGTGGGAGGTGGTGATTACCTTTGCATAACTTGTTTTGTTTTCTTTCTCTTCTCTCAACTCCTAAGTTTTCTTGCTTTTACTCTTCCTTTCCTCTTCCTTTGTCCACAGCAGGGGCAAGTGAGCAAGTGGCTGTGTGGTGCTCAGCTGCCTAGTTGGGTTTAGGCCACACGCTCACAACATCCTATGGCAAGGACTTCCTGAGCCTAATGATGAAAGTTAACTTTCGTTTGAGACAAGGGTAGATAAACTTACAGAAGGGAAGGACCTTGTGTGTTATTGAATGTATGAGACTATGTCTGGGTCAAGAAGTGTCTAAACTAATTTTTGAAGACCAAAAGGTTTGGAGGAGAGAACAGGGAGAAGTTAAAAAGGGCTTTCCCTCTTCTTCACCTTCATACTGTGTGTTTACCTTTAGCCACTGGAGTGGTGGGCAGTGGGCTACATGGAGCTCAGATCTGAATATGGTCGTTCTTCTGTTCTCTTTTAGGTTCTGGTCAGGAGGATTATTGGAGAGATCTATTTGTGTGATACATTTCTTAAATTACTTAGTAATATTTGGACAAACTGAGCAATTAAAATTCTCAGCTTAATGTTCTGCCCTTATTTTAATGGTTGCATTTGAAAATATGTAAAATGTCTTTTGTGTCTGATCCACTCCATGTAGTATACTACCAGACATGCAAGAGGAAGAGTAGTTACAAGACCTGCTCTGAATTTGTTCAACGTGAGGGAATAAAAGGCAAAGTAACCTGCTTAGAGGGCTAGAAACTGACTCTGTAAAGGACTCAGCATTCAAGGATATTTTGTGTAAAAACTAGCAAGATAATTGCATTCACACAGGAAAGTACTGTTGCTGTCTAGTTCAGTAGGTCATAATTTCACTGATGTTTAAGTGTTCTGTTCCAGCGCTGTGACATTGCCAATATGCTAACATTTCTTCTGTTGCTTCCGACTGTTGCTGTACTAGAATTCAAGCCAGACTGGCTTCAGTAAATGCAGATACTTCTACACAAGTCTGTGTAGATATTAGTTAATAGTTCTGCTTTGTAGTTAGAAGAGGATGCCTACAGAAATAATGGGAACCAAACACTGCTAGTCTCCCATAAATATGAAGTTCACATTAGTATTGTTTGTATTGTCTTTCAGCTTAATGAAAGTCCAGAGATGTGAGGAAAAGAGAGGCAAAGATACCAGTAGAAAGGCAGTGGGATGCACCATAGGATGACTTTGTATCTTCCAGGTTTCATAGTCATAGGCACTATAGAAAGCTAATTTCAAATGTACTTGTGTTTTGAGATTTGAGCTTTGGATAAATTCTTTAATATATCTAATAGTGATAAACTCTTACTGTATGTAACCTTTCCTCCAGTACAACTAGAGTTTCCTTGTCCCTGCTGCCTGCCTGTTTTCACGACTTACTAAGTTAATGCATCTTTGAGATTTCAACCCTTTTGTCAAATTTACCTGAAACTGAGGAGTTCAAAGCTAGTGAATCACAGAAGGGACTACTGCTAGGTGTGCATTTGCAGACACAGTGCATCTATAAGGCTTTTTTGTTCCCTTAGGTAAGACAGTTAGAAATTTGATGTCTTTTTATTGTTGCCGTTGTTACTGTGAACTTCAGAACCTTTGGGACTGAGCACAGTACAGTTTTATAGCACCTATCAGCTATATCAGAAGTAAACCTAAATTTCTGGTATAGTTGTTTAGAATATTGTTAATAGGCTGCAGCCAAAATAAACACTTTGTAATGCTGAGAATCTTAATATTCTTGAGGGCTCTGAATGTGGCACTTCCTGCTTTACAATGAAGAATCTAATACTCTGGAATATGGGACTTATGCAGGTCTATTTAGAATGTGTTGTATTAGTGTACAAGTGTGTTTCATTTTGCAGTGACTTGAGATTCTGACTTTTGCTTTGGTGTTCTTTTGTGTTGTTTTTTTTTTCCTTTCTACAGGACAGTTTGCAGAAAATGAAACAAATGAGGTCAATTTTAGAGAGATCCCATCCCATGTCCTATCCAAAGTATGCATGTATTTCACCTACAAGGTCCGCTATACTAACAGCTCTACGGAGATTCCTGAATTCCCAATTGCACCCGAAATTGCACTGGAACTTCTGATGGCTGCAAACTTCTTAGATTGTTAAATAAAATAAATTATAATAAAAAATGTAAAACTTTTTTCAGTATTTAATACATGTAGTTCAGTTAGTAACTTTTTTTCAGATAGCATGTTGCGTGTGTGCTGTTGAGAGCTATAAAGTTCACTGCAGAGGCAATTGCCTTCAGTTCTTTTGCATATAGCAGTCATTCAGTTGGAGTTTGTTTTGCTGCTTACACAAATAAGGACCTTTCCACAAATAAACAAATATGCCAATTAGTAGATGGCTATGCCTTATCCTTTAGGTGTGGTAGAGCTTTCTTTTAATACAATGAGCATAGTGAATACCGGAGTTTAGTCTCATATTCTCTAAAAGGTAATTATAGTTACACACGAGTAGCTGTTTAGGGTTTCTAACTTTCTCTTATTTTTAAAGTTTCTAAACATCTGAACTTAATCTCCTTTTTAAGATGGCTGTCCTTTAGAATAGTTACACTAACTAGATTAGAAGTGCCCTCCCTAGGGTTTGTATACTGGCAGTGATATTCCAGTTAGAGTGAAAGTGGAGTATGTAGGAGAATATTTAAGAAGGCTTTTAATTTAAGTCACAGTATAGACATGTGTAAAGGTGTACTTGATACATTTTTCTTTTATAACCTAAATTTACCCTGTTGGTAATTTCAGATATTCCAGTCACTTGTCTGTACAGTAAGATTGAGATCCTACTGACAGTGACTTTTAAGGGGAAAAATAACTGTTATAATCTGTGTATATTATCTTCTGTATGACATATAAGGTTATTCTTAATATACTGTCACTTGACCTGATAAGGATTTTATATGACCTCAGTTATGGTTTATTTCCATTGTTCTGATTGTTTATGTAAAGTCTGTATTTAATCATTAGAGTAGTAGTCATTTAAATTTTGTAACATAGCAACTGAAAAGATATCAGTTATCTTACCTTTTACCTCTTCCTTGACCTCTCCCTTGTACCCACAGAAAAAGACCCTAAAATGTTGGAGGTCTTTTATATTTGAAGGAAAGGGCATTAAGCAGATGTTTAAGGAGCTGTTTTATAAATTTCTTAGGTCTTTCCAATGTTTTTACAAATATTTTAAGGGAAAAGGATTGGCAAGCCACTGATGTAATACTAGAGTGGAACACTTTATCTCTTGGTAGTTCCTACTGGCATTTGCCTGTGTTATTTATCAGTTCTTTGTTCAAAGCAAGTTTCCATAAAGAAAAAAAGAACAAACAACTTGAGACAAGAAGTTGCTTTTTGTTCAGCTGCAGCCTGAAGAATGCTTCTGCCAAAACCATGTGTAAATGAGACTAAATCTAATGCATCATGAGAAATGATGCAAGAACAATGTAGTTAGCATTTTCATCAGCTGCCTCTGCTTCAGCTTTGTTTTGATCAAGAAGTGATTGTGGTCTATCATGGAAAAATCTCACTGACTGATGGTGGGACCTCTTTCTTGATGTATTAACTCATGGCTAATTTAGAGGGCTGAAACTCTCCTCTAAACCTGCTTGTCAACATAAATACAACTTTGAAGAGATTTTTCTGGATGAAAACTAGTAATTTACATAGACTATGCAGTCTGCCTATGGAGGAGTTCAGTTCTGACAAATGAAATTTTATTCTGGGCTTAAATAATGCTTGATAGACAAGCTGACGTTTATCTATGTGTTGATAGATTAGCTGACATTTATTCACATCACATACTTTGGCACAATTTAATGTGTTTAATGGGGGGATGTCTGTGAGTAGATTGGTTTTGCACGATAAAGCTGAAGTGCATTGCAGGGCAATTGTCCGAAATCCTATGTGATTTCATAACAGCACTGTGGTCAGTGCTGTTAGTAACTCATTTTCAAGAGGACTAGAAAGATAAACCAGAGATACCCTGCTATGCTGCTTTGTTAGAGCTGCTAGGAATACCCTAAAAGGTCAAGGAATACCGACATGGATATTTTAGTCACAACTACATATCAGTCTGAGCAAGTCTTAAGTTCACTGGCCATTTTTAATACTTTTGAGGTTAGTGACTTGAGGCTGAAAATTATATAGTTTGAAATTAAAACAAAAAGGATGTAATTTTTTTTCTAAATGGTGTTTTTTTTCTTTTTTTTTTTCTTTTCTTCCCCTTTTTAAGCATTCCAAAACAATTGCCTGTTAAAATACGTTGCATTTTATGATTCTGTACTTCAGCAGTAAGGTAAAATAGCTGGTTTAGCTCTGAATAATAATTTTGTTGGTTTTCTTTCAGCTTAATGTATCATACAGTAGCTTTGAACACTCAGGAAATGCAGTAGTGTCCCAGAGCGCACTATTTGCAAAACCACTGGCTGTTAAAACTAACCAGATTTCTAAGGGGGAGGGGGGCAGAGGGAATTAGTGCAATTTCCGTGATAGTTACATGGATATGCTATTATCAGACAATTGGAAACTTACCACGCTTAACCCCTGAGTTCTAAATAAATTTCAAAGTTGAAAATTTTTAAACCTGTGTTTCTTTTGATTTATGACTTCTCAGAGGAAGTGTTCACGTGCAGAATCATTATTTTCATGGCTATAATATATGGTGAGCAAATTGCTAATATAATTAATATTTAGATAATAGGCTGTGAAACTGCATGCATAATATTAAAGGTGATGGGGTTTTTTCACAGTTCTAAAGAGTTTCGTAGGTTTTAAGTGTTTAGATATTTGTGCTGCTCTGAATTACAAGTATCCACAATTCTCAGAAATAACTAAGTACTAAGAAGGCATGGTATTCCTGAACAGGCTTGAAGGAGATACATTCAAGGATACTTCAAGGTTATCTTGCTGAGGATATTTTGAAGACTTCAAGTGTCCCATAATACTCATTTTACTTAGTAAGCTAGTCCTGTATCTGATGGTTCAAAATTTAAACTTTACCGCTGACTGAGTCATAAAAACTTCCAGATTCTTTACTAACTGTGAGCAATGAGAAGAGTCCTTTTGGACTGGGTTATGGTTTGTCATCATTTGAATGTTTACAAGCTGCTGAAGAAGTCTCTGATGGTCTCATAGTCTGTGCATCCGGAATGATCAGAACTGCACAAGACATGAAATTCCTTTTCGGTTTTGAAGTTGAAAAAAGGAGGATTCACCATCTGGATTCACTGTGCCATTATATTCAACAGCTGTGCTGAGCATGATATCTGAAAGGCATTTCTCAATTAACAGTAATAAGTTTGGAAAATTGGTTGCTTCTGTCTGCGTTTTATCACTGTATATTGTATTTCACAGGCCTAAATTTGCAGCAATGGCGGTTTGTTTTTTTCACCCTTTCTTGTTTTCGCTCTGCCCATTGAAAGGCTGTTCCCAACACTTCCCTAAATCTGTTGGTTTATGTGATAGATAAAGTGGACAAGGAAATTAGCGGGGCAGGAAAGTTAACTTTTCAGTCCATGTTTTGCATCCCTCCTTTCGTTTTGTCAGGTCTCAAATGTTGCAGTATAATTTAAGGGAGTAACAGTTACTGCAGAGTCAACAAAAACACAATGTTGGCGTGTAGGAACTAATGAGAAGTAGCAGTTTTCCTACCTAAAAACTAAGGGTGGAGGCTGTGGTATAAACTTAATTACGACAACTGAGTAAGAAAAAAACGGCAGGAACTCATTAAAAGATCAGATGGATTTGGAAGACAAACTAGGATGCTGGTTTTTAAAGACAGATTAAACCTTCACAATTAGCAAAAAAGGCACGAGGTAGTTTTTTCCCATGGGAAAAGTTCAACTTTGAAGGATTTTGACAAATAATAGACTGGATTGGAGATGGATTATTTTTTTTAATGTATCTTGTTAGATGGTAATTTTATGCAAAGATGTCAATCCTATGAACTCAGTGTGTGGCACAGTGATCGGAAGAGCTAGAAAAGAGCACATAGTAGATTTTGTGATTATTACCGGTCACCTGTAAAGCTTGAGTGTCATCACTAAGGGAGCACAGAGAAAGGAAGGGTGAGTTTATCCGTTTGAAACTTTAAAAAGTGTCAAGAAATCAATCTTTGTGTATGTTACATCCAAAATGCAGCTTGTGCAATCTTCTATGGGATAAAGGTCACTGAGATTTAAAAAAAAAAAAAAAAAGGAAAAGAAAAAAAAAAAAGATATATTTTCCCGTCATTGCCATGTTACTGTTTTGTGTTTACAGAACACAGGATTTTTCTCCCACAGTACATGGGAGGAGATCACAGATACAAGGTCATGATTTTTCTTTGATAGATGGAGTACTTCAACATCTCATCCTATTGAACTTATGTACTTGGACAGTTTTCAAGATGTTCATCATGTAATGTTTTATAGCTTCACTTATTGAAAAGAGAATTGGAAAACTGAGTTAAAATTACCCCTGAAATATATATTGCCTTTTAGTTCAGTGAAAAGAACAACTTGAGGGCTTTGAGATAAATTAAAATCTACAAATTACTAGTTTCCAGGATAGTGGTGTGAGATCGTGGGTTTTTTTGGAATACAGATATGGGTTAATGCTACTCCTTATTTATTTGTTTTTAATTTTTTTGTTCAAACAGAAGTTACGTTGAAGTTAAATACTGTTAATTCCGTTAATGCTAATTCAATTTTTAAACTTTCCAGGTGAGAATTAATAACTAGGGTTTTTGTTCCCATTAAAAAAAAATACTACTGGTATCCTATTTACACTAATAGAAAACCTTTATCTCCAAAATCACCACTAAACAAAACTGTAAGTAATATGTAATTCATGTCTTGTGTTGCTGTACATTCTTGTTTCTCTGTCTAGTAAAAGCATGAGATTCCTGCTGTGCAAATTAATTCACTCTTATGTAAAAAGTTCTCAGCTTTGGCTGGTATCACCAAGCCTGAAAAATATCTAGAATTTAAATGCATTTGGCACAAAGGATTTATTTCTTTTTTTTATAGATAGAAAAACTTCCTGCATTACCGTACTAAGTTGACATATAATCTTTTCCAGAAGTGATGCTCCATTTGAATCAGAATTATTAGTAGTTTGCTACAAATGAAATATGAAAGTGATATATCAATATTTAACATTTGAACTGCTTTCACAGTTGTCATAGAGTACTTAATGAAAAATATTTGACTTGTAGTAAACAACTATGACTTAAGAAGAGAACCGTCTGAAAATACGTAGTTGAAATAGTCAAGTAACTGCTCATCCATTCTGTTTTCATATCATAGCTCTGTTTCATCATAATCAAATCCCATATGAAGTCTTGTCTTTCCCGAGGGACATTAAATAAACAAACACAAACCAACAGGCTGGACCACTGTCATCCTGGTGTACAGGCTTGCAAAATGAAATTCTGCAAGCTCAGTAAGTAGTGCAGGGTCCAGTGAGGGCAATGTGCAGCCTGATATGCACAGCTAGAGAAATTCAGCCCTTGGAAACTGATAGTTTATCACACATCTGTACACGTTACCAGAGATGCCTCTTCTCCTGCAGTTTTGCTTCTAGACAAGCAAGACCAAACAGCTACTTAATTTCGAAAATTCTCTATCAGTATCTTCACTGCTTATGAGTTCAGAGTCACTTGTTTGCATTCCTAATAACATGAGCTATGTATTTGTGTAACTCTTGGGGTCACCTGAGAAGCCTCCAGTTCGCAGTCTTTAAAGGTAAAATAAAATTACTAAATGATAATTATATTTGATTCTCACAGGTATTATTACCAAGCAGCTTCTTAACACTTATTTGACAGACACAGTAATCTGCCTGCTCACATGGGCTGTGGATGCTTTTGATGTGGAAGAACTTTTAATAATTACATAACCTTGCACTTTTTAATGCATTCATCTACTTAATTGAGTGTAGATCCTATACAATCCTCATTTTTTATAGCTTTTGTCTTTATATGTATTTATCTTGACAGCATTTAAAAGAGTTAGAGGATTACTGATGCCAAAATACATGGCTTGACAATTGTTAATTATGGCATACAGTGCCAAGTAATAGGACCAGAGGCAACAGGCAGAAACTGATGCACAGGAAGTTCCACCTGAGCATGAGGAAGAACTTCTTTACTGTGTGAGTGACTGTGCACTGGAGCAGATTGCCCAGAGAGGTGGTGGAGTCTCCCTCAGTGGAGATATTCAAGAACTGTCTGGATGCCATCATGTGCAATACGCTCTGGGATGAGTCAGCAGTGCCCTGGCAGCCAGAAGGGCCAACCATGTTCTGGGGTGCACCAGACAAAGCATCACCAGCCGGTCAAGGGAGGGGATTGTCCCACTCTGCTCTGCACTGGGTGGACCCCCTGGAATATTTTGTGCAGTTTTGGGCACTGCAGTATAAGAAAGATATTAAGCTATTGGAGAGTGTCCAAAGGAGGGCAACGGAGATGGTGAAGGGCCTTGAGGAGAAGCTGTATGAGGAGCAGCTGAGGTCACTTGGTCTCTTCAGCCTGGAGGAGACTGAGGGGAGATCTCATTGCAGTCTACAGCTTCCTTGTGAGGGGAAGAGGAGCGGCAGGCACTGATCTCTTCTCTGTGGTGACCAGTGACAGGACCGAAGGGAATGGCCTGAAGTCCCCTGTGTCAGGGGAGGTTTAGGTCAGATATTAGAAAAACGTTCTTCACCCAGAGTGTGGTTGGGCACTGGAACAGGCTCCCCACGGAAGTGGTCATAGCACCAGGTCTGACAGAGTTCAAGAAGCATTTGGATGATACTCTCGGGCACATGGTGGGACTCTTGGGGATGGTCCTGTGCAGAACTGACAGTTGGACTTGATGATATCTGTGGGTCCCTTCCAACTCAGCACATTCTGTGATTCTGTGACCCTGCTTGAGCAGAGATGTTGGGCCAGATGACCCACTGTGGTCCCTTCCAACCTGACCCATCTTGTGACTCTGCATATTACTGAAACACACAATTCCGCTCCTTTCCCTATCCCCAGGTCCTCCTCCTTCCCCTGCAGTAATTACAACAGTGTGTCCACATAATACGACAAATTCTTTTTCTGATCTGATGGAAAATTATTTTGCTAGTTTAGTCTCCCCGTGGATAAATTGAAAGCCACAGATTACCCAGTGGCTGCAAAATTGTAAATGCTACACAAGAGAAGAAATGGAAGCATCTGACATCTAAGAACAATCTTCTGCAGGCACTCTACTTGTAGCAGATCAGAAAGAAGGTGGAACTTTTCTTAGACACTTTTCATCCACTTAAAAGTCCTGGGACTGAAATGATAATGTGCCTGTTACTATTAAGAACTAGGATGAAAATGGGATAAGCCATTGATTGAAAAACCCGTATTATCACTAAGGAATAAAACAAAATAAAATCTCAACATCTCAAAGACATCTTGCAAATTTAGGGTATTTTCAATTTTAGCTATGTTTGCAATGTATTTCTTTTACATTCTTGATATAATTTTTGTCTTGGTGTGATTCTGCGTCTTTAGTTGATGGTTTCTGCTGGTGCACCAGGCTTGTTTATCAGATCTTATTTCCACAGACTTTTAAACTCAGTACCTTCCTTAACTGGCAGGCAGGAGTGGAAGAAGCAGTTGGTGCAATTCCTCTGAGGGGCAGGGAGTCCTCCATGCTCATGAGCTGCGGTCTCCTGGCTCTGCAGATTATGTTTGCTACGCACTTGAGTAATAAGGGGAGGTTAACGAGAATGTACAGTTGACTTCTGTGTAAAAAGGAGACAAGATGGAAAGCTAAAGAAGCACAGTGGATGCACACAAAAGACGTCAAGCTCCAATGTCATTATAGAGGCAGAAATTATAAAGAAGCAGGCAGTGACACTTCAGTGTGCAGAAGAATAATATACAAAAAAAAAGGGAGAGCAAAGGGAAAAAAGGTTTTGAACTGTTTGAAAACATTACGGATAACATAGGGAATAAAATATAAAATTATAGGGACCCTAATCAAGAAACATATTTGACCTTTATGAAACTGGCTTGATATATCAGAAAATTATCTAACAAATACAGTTTGAACATTAGCTGCATCTTTCCTGTAAGCCTAAGGTTATTCAAATTCTGAAGAAAAGTGGATTATTAGATCAAGATCAAGAATATTTACAGAAACAATTTTAGTAGGAGGTACAATTTTCATTATTTGCTCCATGTTTTCAATAAATGAGTCATAATCACGTATTTGATCAGATCAGTGCAAGATAGCCTCTGAAATAATGAAGATAGCAGACTGAATTCCTCTTATCCCTGAAGGTTTGAATATTTGGGACTCCACCCAGGACTCCAGTTCTTGAAGTCTCTCAAAACTAGGTTGACGGGCGCAGGATCAGACTGCATTATCTAAATACCAAAGCTTTGTTTTTTAAACACCAAATTACTTGTGTTGCCCATCTCTGTACCTGCAACAGATTTGGAAGGGTTAACTGCAAAAGTGTTTTCATCTACATTGTGCATAAATAGAGGTCAACACTGAAATGAACACCAAATTACAATATAATCAACTCCTTGTGAAATTTACACTCTTCAGGATTTCGGGCCTTTCCTTAGTGGGATTACCGGATAACTTAAGGAAGAAAATACTGATGTTCACATAATTTTTTTTTCTGTGAGTCTGGTAATAGTGTTTGTTTTCTTACTGTGCTTATGGGACTGACTCTCTACTCCCTATAGCATTATGTACTGTACAAAAACACTTACTAAAACAACTCTCAGCAAGGCAGGTTACCAAGATGCGGGGAAAGGGAGAAAAACCAATAAAACACAGGGATCATTCTCCAGGTGCCCCTATTCCTATGATGACAAGGAGCTAAAAATGTTGTACACATATACGAGGCACTGCATGACACTTAAAAAAACAAAGATGTGACAACAGTGATAAAAAACACTTTTGGTAGTCCTGTAAGAATAAACTCTATTCAAAGTGAATTCAGGGATGGGGGGTTCTGGTCACAAGTTTCATCTGCAGAAGAATGTTTTAGTTTCTTACATACCCAGTTAAGATTGAGTAGGTATTAATGACTTCATGCTCCATTTATATGAAGGGCAAACTTGCTTTTCATGCCTGCTATCCTCAGGAATGGGATTTACACCATAGATGAAATTATGCCAGTAAACAATACTTTAGTCCAAAATGCGGTAGGTGCTTTGTTTTTAACATTGAAAATCTCTGTGTGATAGGTAAAAAAGACTTCTTGGACATAAGGGCAGTTAAAAGCTATGATTTATTTTTTTGTGAAGGTAGCTTTTCATCCAGAGATAATTTTTCTTTATTACAGAGTAGAAGTCATATTTGTACTGAATACAGTTCACTGATCTTTCCATGCAAAAGCAAGCTTGCACTCTATGAAGTGTGTTGGCATTCATAAGCTTATGCTTCTTTCTATCTTCTGACCTTCAACTCGATTTTCTAGAACAGCCTTAAGAAATGGAATATAATGGTTTGAAATCAGTTTTATCTTGCTGTGCTGACATCAACACAGATAGTCAATATGTCCATGTTTACAGCTGAACACATGTCCGTTGCTTAAACTTGATGTTCTTGCAATCTTTGTGGCATATGGCATTAAGACATGTATTTTAGGATAAACATATGCTTAGATCATGCAAAACAACAACTAGTAAAACAGAAACAGCAATGTTCCACTTCATGCTGTGACGTCCTAAGTTAGTTCTGAAGAACTGCAGGAAAAAGAAACCTTTACCAGGTGCATGTGTCTACTTCATACAATAAACCCTCTGGAACACAAATGGTCTTGCAAAATCATACAGTAAAAAATACTGACTTCCAGGGAAAACACAGTAAAGCAAGGTGAGGTTGCATGACATTAGGAGCCCACAGTTTGTGAATGAAAATTGAATTTAGAGGGCAAAAAGTATAGGCTGCAGCTTTTCCCATCCTTACTTTTGGTAGGCTAATCTTTCCTACTCAAAAATCAACACATGGTTCTGTTATCAGCAAATTCCTACAAAGCCAAGAGGTTTGTTGCCTTCTGCACTTGCCTCACAGTGTAAGGACACTCCTGCTGCCTTCTGTTCTTCCCTTTAAGCAAACCCCCAAAGTTTGTTTGCTTGCTTTAACAACATTCTTGATGCTGGATAAAGTTGGAAGCTGATATCATGTTGTCCTGGGGTTTTTTGATTTGTTTTCCTCCAGTTAGCTGTTTTCCAAGTTGAGGATGCATGAAAACATACCAGAAGGTAAAGGTTATACACAGAGGTAGTACATGCATGACACTGTATATTTTAGTAAAAGAAGATAGGCAGGCTTTTAGATGCAGAACCATTCTCAAGGTCTAAAAGTAAAGCAGCAGATTTCAAAGGTAAATACAAACTGTAAACAATTGTTCAGTAATTTAATTGTTTGCATATCAGGTTATCTCTGAAGGAAAAATCAGGTTCTACCAATGGAGCAGAGGTGACATAAGTATTCTTTAGCATCATCAGAAAGGAGGGGTGTAAAGGGACAGAGAAAGGGACTCCCATGTTTTTGGAATGTGCAGCAAGAGATGGAGATTATAATGACCTATAAAATCAGTTTCTCTGTTAAATCCTTGGTTTTACATAACCACTGGGATTATGGATTTTATAGGTTTGTCTTTGGATAAACAGTTTGTAGGTTTATCTTGAGGATCTATTAAGTCTGAAATACTAGAGCAGGAATAACAGCTTTATGAAGTGTGTTTCCGCAAGTTGTGTAATTTGATTGCACACAATCATTCTAGTGAGTGCTACTTGTTTATTTTCACTTACACAGACACCGCAAATCACCTGGTGCAGAGGACAGAGGTTATTCCAGGTCAGGAGAGGAAAACGTAGAATACAAAAGTGCTCTCACTTAAAATATACCCCAGCACGTACACTGCCAGTGCAGGAAAATCAGATTATGCAAAGAGCTGTGGCAGAGCAGCACAGACGGGAGCCCACAGGAGTGACACCCCCCCCCACCCCCCCAAGGAGAGCCCTCCAGCACCGCCGTCCAGCCCTTCTCCCGCTGCCAATGCCCTGAGCCCGGGCAGCAGCGACTGCTGCGGGTCTCCGATCCGACTTGTAGTAGGATCTGTAGGGATAGGACATGGAGTAATGGGTACAAACTGAAAGAGGAGAAATTTAGGCTCGATATTAGGAAGAAATGCTATATAGAAAAACCATGAGGTTGGTGAGACTCTGGAACAGGTTGTGCAGGGAGGTCGTGGATGCCCCAGCCCTGGCAGTGTTCAAAGCCAGGCTGGATGGGGCTTTGAGCGACGTGATCCAGTGGAAGCTGTTCCTGTCGGTGGCAGGAACTGGGTTGTCTTTAGGGTCCCTTCCAACACAAACCATTCCATGATTCTGTGATGTCCAACCGGGGCACACCAGGCGCCAGGGGAGCCCAGAAGAACCCGCAGAAGGGGCACAGCCCGCAGTAACCAAACCCCTTACAACCTGCGGGCTCAGCTCTCAATACCTCCACGAACAGAGGCCGGGCGGGGGGTCAGCTCCGTCCCGCCCCCCGGGTGACGATGATAGACAGCCCTGGGCGCAGCTCCCGCCCCGGCCGCAGAGCGAGCCAGGAGATGGGCAGCACGGGGGGAGCCTCCTGGCGTGCGCAATGGGACGGCGAGGCGCCTCCACCGCGGCCGGCAAGGGCGGTGGCGGGAGCAAGACCGAAATCGGGACCGGGATCTCCGGGACACCGCCCGCCCGCACCGCCCTCCCTGCTCGGGCCCGCCCGCACCGCCCTCCCTGCTCGGGCCCGCCCGCACCGCCCTCCCTGCTCGGGCCCGCCCGCACCGCCCTCCCTGCTCGGGCCCGCCCGCACCGCCCTCCCTGCTCGGGCCCGCCCGCACCGCCCTCCCTGCTCGGGCCCGCCCGCACCGCCCTCGCCGCGCGCACGCGCGGCTGCCGGACGGGTGGGCGCGGGCACGTGACCGCGAGCGCGCGGGGCGGGGCCGGGTCGGCGGCGGCGCAGAGGGAGGGGGGGAGGAGGGGGAGGAGGATCCATCATGGCGTCGATGCAGGTGAGGCGGCTGCGGCGGAGCCCCCGGGGCAGCACCGAGGCCGGATGGGGGCCGGGCGGGGGCCGGGCGGCGGTGGGGGTAGGCTGGGGTGCGCTGGCGGCCGGGAGGAGCCGTTCCGCCCGGCGTGTGCGTGCGCGCGCGGTGCGCTGCAGGGCGCGATGCGGGCGGAGCAACCGCCGGGGCAGAGGTTGAGGGGGGCGAGCTCAGGGGAGCGGGACCGGGGGGGCGGGTGCGGGCGGGGAAGGGCCGGCCTGGCGCCGCGATGGAGGTGAGACCCGCGGGGCTGCGAGAGGCGAGGCCGGGCCCCGGCGGCGGCGGGCGGGGCGGCTGCGGGTGGAGCGGAGCCTCGGGGGGTCTGGCGGTGCCGGCGCTCCCCGGGGAGGAGAGGGGAGCGCGAAGGGGCGCTGCTCCCCTCCGGCCGGGTGCGAGGGGGCCGGGCTCCGCCGGGTGCCGTGGCTCTGTATGCCACCCCGTGCGGGGCGGGCGGCCAGGCTGGCGGGTCACGGCGGCACCGGGAAGACCGTGAGCGACAGCTCCGCGTTCCCGGGGTTCCCGGGGTTCCGGCGCTGTAATTCCCGGGTACGGGGGCCTAGGACAGACAGATCCTGCTCCAAGCCGCGTGTTGCCCGTGGGGTTCTCTTTCCTTCCGTAAAATGAGGTTGCGGTGTGGTGCCAGCCCGGTGGACGGGGAGCGTCTGGCATTGCTCGGTCGGCTGGGGTTGCTGTAGGTGCAATAGCATGAACCATCCTGCTGCTTGACAGGTATTTCCAGCTGAATTATTCATTCAAACCTGCTCCGAAGGGGTTCTTAAATAGGGGCTGCAGCAGTTGCTCTGGGAGAATGGATCACTTTCACTGCGTGCCGCTCTGAGTGGGTGGTGATTTATTATGACTGGGGCAGGAGGAAAGATCGCCAGGTTTTGTGGCAGTGGCCCCTGTCTTATTTCATCAGCAACTGCTGTGCTTTTTCTTGAATATTTACAGTTTTCCGTTTTGGTTTTAGATCCGGATGCTAGCTCTTTACTTGTTTTGGTCCAGTATAACTTATATTTTTTTGTCACTAGTAGTGGAACAGCCCTGAAAGAATGTACAAAATGGAAGAAATTCATTTAACTGTCCTAATAACCTGGATTTAGGATAGCTAAAAAGAGTTAAAATGTCCAAGCATTGAACTTTATGGGGTAAAAATTCTGCTCATGAAGTTTAGAGGTGTAAAAATTGTCCGTGGTGTGTCTTTCAGAGTTATTGAAATTAATTGAGATCAAGAACTTGAACATACTGTACAGAATGTTCTTCTTTTAGCAGTTGCTTAGGCAGGTAGTCTGATCTGCCTTGGTTTTATTAGCTCTAGCTGGCAAATGCGTTTTTGCAATGCTCTTCTTCTAACGTTCAAACTTCCACAAGCACAAATGCAAAACAGAGGCTATAATTTATTAAGTAGTATCTTTAATAAAACTGTGTTAAAATTGGGGAAATGATAGCGCTGAACTGTGAAGGAGGCACTTTGTGGAACTGTGCAAACCTGTGCTGTGTTGCTGTCTCTGGCCTAGTAAATGACCTTCTACAGCTTGCCTCACCCTAATTCCTGTTGCTCTCTCTGTAAAGGGGAAAAAACGGTTACAGATTACATGGGGTTGCTTAGGATACATGAATGACAAATGTTGCCTAAAAGTAAGATATGTGTGGAGGGTAGTACTCACTTCCTGAAATGACAGCCATGCAAGTCTAATGTTGTAATTGCTTTCATTTTAGGAATACCAGCTGTAAGATGACACTTTCTGTTTTCTTGCACAGTGTTCTGTTGTCTTTTGATGAGAGACTGAAGGGCATTTGTAGAGTTTTTTCCTCTATGTTGCTAATTGTATAATGCTCTAATTACTTTTCCTGTGTTTAGTAAACTACTGATTTAGTAATGTGGTTTAGTAAATTGGAAAAGGAGTTGTAAACAGGAAGTATAAATGAAAGTTGAGTAAATGAATTGTAAAATTAGTAAGTTTCTCCATAGTAGACATATCCCCCAAGTGAGCAAGATTTCAAGGCTCTGGATTCTTCTATTAATTAACATATCTTCAGCAAGGGAAAAAAGTTTAACAAAGGAAAGTTTTATATAATTTAAATGGCTTTTTGGTTCAGGATCATTTAATTTATTATAATTAGTGCTAACTTCTGGTCTGCAAAGTGTCCTGACACAATAAGATGTCCTTTTTCTGGTTAAGTACAGTGTTTTTAAATAGCCATTGTTTAACTGAAATGTTTGTGCAACTCATAGCAGTCTCTGACTATTCTGATAGTCTATCACTGGACTGCCATTATTATTCATATTATTGATAAAAATGATAGATTGATTCATTAAGTAAGTTTAGTTACTTCTTAAACAGATGTAATTTTATGCAACAATGTATGATACCCTCTCTTAATTACATTTTATTTTTAAAGATCCACTGAAATGTCTCTGATTAAGTTACTAGGGTTATCTGATCAGCCTGTTCTAAGTCAGCCTGCTAGGGAAGTTTTGGAACTGTAATAGATCACCTCTTCTTGCCAATGGCTCTGAGCATCAACATGAATAGTTACTGCAGTTCAGTGGATGCATAGTAGCTTGTGAAACTTGTGACTTTGAACCTTTATGAGTATCATTAAACTTATTGTGGGTTTTTTCTGTGTGGACAGTCTTTAATGGTAGTTTTTTGTAACAATTTTTTTTCCTACAATGATAGAAGCCAGTGCTAATGAAATGGTGTGTTTTGTTTTCTGACTGCAGTGTTGTTGCTAATTTGTCACTGCTGAACTCTTTTAAACCTGTTTTGCATGACTTTAAGCAAATCATATTTTTTCTTAAAAAAGTCAACAAACCCCCAAACAAGCCTTGAATGAAAAGTGTTTCTTTTCAAGACTTTTCCCAGAAAAAGCCCAAGCTCGTGCAACTTTCTCCTGGAAAAAACACACAGAAATATTCTGAAAAGGTGTAAGTAGTATAGAACAAGTGAATAGAATGGATTTGCTTTAGAAGATTTGATATAGCATCTTCAGTAATCTGAAAAACGCTAAAGAAATCATAAACAATAAACAGTTGTTCTCAGAACAGCTGGAAACACAAAACTTGCATTATGAATAGAAGAGCAGGTGAAAAATAAAGGCAACGAAGCTCAGTTGAAATGTACAGAAAGTCTTTAATTGCTGTATGAAGTGTTAACTTTCCCTCAACCTGCAGATATCAACTTTTTCCATCATAAACTTGAAAGATTGGCTCTACCTATAATACTGACATTTTAATTAATATACTTTACCTTTCACCTCCTTTCAGTTTTAATACCGGGTTATTACAAACCCTGAATTATGATTGGACGTATTTACGAAAACTGTTAAAAGTCATTTATGGGAGCAGTTTTCGGTGTGCATTTGATCACCAAAATAACTTCTCATTTATTTTCTAAAGTTAGGCACATGAGATTTGTACATGTATGTATTTAAATCTGACTGACTACAGAGCTCATGAAAGTAATGACACAAAAAATTTAGTAGAGTGTAGGATGTTAGTTTTCACCGTGCTTCTGTGTTATCGCTTGGAGAACTGCTGGTGGTGGGCCACCATCAAATTACACGCACACATCAAAATAAAGTGTGACTTGAAAATTCTTGTTCCACCAATAGAAATTTTTTCAAAATGTGTGTCTAAACAGCCATTTAATAAAATAATTGTGCGAGATGACAATGCAGAATTCATGTTACAGTTTGAGATCACAAGCAACTTTTATCACAAAATGCAAGCCAGTAGCAATGTGAAAGATTCCCATGAGATTCTCACCAATATTTTCAGCCAGTAGGGTAGGGCATGGGGGAAATGTTTACAAGCCACTGAAGTCTCGAGAAAAAATGCATATACTTTTAGTTATATTTCTTGGTTCTATTCTTTACCTGCACTTCTCATGTTAGTGGGAGTTGTGTGTTTCCAGCTGTTCTCGGAACAATTACTTGTTGCTTAGTCTTTGTTCAATAATGGCAGCATTTTTATTTAATAATTTGGCAGTAATTTATTTAAAAGATGGGAAAAAGCTTTAAACTATTTTTAATGTATGTTCCAAAAAACCCAAGTCAATTGGAACTCCAGTGGTGCTGCACATGTATTCTGTACTCTTAAAGATCACAGTATGAGCTGCTATATGTATTGCTTCAAATAAAACATTTAAAAATCAAAAGAAAATGAGCAGTTTTGGTAACTATATAACCAGTTCCGGGATATAAAGCCAATGAAATTATTTGTAGTTAATAACAACATGAAGTATTTAGTGGTGGCATTGGTGGAATACTGTTGAAGATAAGAAATTCAGTAATTTTTTAAACTGAAAAGTGCACCTGCCAAAATTGAGGCGAGAAAGAGTAGAGAGTAAGAAGCATTCCTCTTGTCCGCCAAGAGCTTCTTAGTCCTTTGCATAACCTTCAGAAATCAGTCTGTACTGATATGTGGTGTATTAGCTTTGGCATATAGCCATGCTATAGTAAAATAAGATAAATGCAAAATTTACAGTCATTTTACCAAGAAGAGTTAATTTAATCTTGGCTGTTTTTAATAAACTTTTTAAGTGAGTTGAATATCACATGAAGTTTAAAATTTATGGTCTTTATTCAGTAAAGATAAATAAAATGAAAGTTACTGCTTTAGGGCCTAAGGAGTCTCATTTGCTTGTTTTTGTGTCTGCTTGCGTAAACAGAATTTTGGGAAATACTTTACTGTGCATCAGCTGCACAATTTTTGGCCTAGAATGGAAGAATTGACTTTTGAGAAAGAAAGCAGTAGTAGAAAAGCTTCTTGAAACCAGTGTCTCTGAGCATTATCAGCAGCAGCTCTTGCTTCCAAATAAACCAACTATACAGCGAAAATGTAGAAAATCATGAATGCTTTCAATCTGTAACATTGAACATTGGTATTTCATCAATATGTGTACAATTTCAATCAGGAAAATAAAAGCAGGCAGGTATTTGTTTTAAAAAAAATTATTCTGGTTGATTGTAAGTATTTTTTGCTCACAGTTTTATATTGTCTTATACTTGTGTTTAGGCCTAGCTAGTCTAGGGAAAGGGAAGGGAAAAATAGAACACAATAGATTTGCAAAAGCCAGGGAATGTTGTCTTGTTAAGCTGCTCCCTTGGAAGGCTCTGTGAGTTTGTAATTAATAAGCTAAAGCAGCTTAGCTCAAACAATGCGCGAAACTCGGTGATCAAGCGCTTTCTTTAATTGTTTGCTCAAATTCTACTGAGCTAAGACTTTCAGACTAAAGGATCTTCACTATCCTT